TGATAAGTTGCTGTCTTGCAAAAGTGAGTCATTATTGTTCAATCGGTGTCTTGATTAGATTATTGGATGTTAGGAGCATGGGTTAATATGTGGAGGTAACGTCTAGTACTAGAGAAGCTTGATGCAAGATTTGCTAGAGTAATGAGTCGGGGCTGGTTTCTAGGCTCTAGCCTAGGCTTGGCTTGCAGACTAAAGGCTATGACTAGAGTACTAATGATCAGTCTAGAGTTTACTAACTTACAAACTCCGGTTGGTGCTCTAGCCTGACTTTGTCCAGCTTATAGACTAGGAATATTTCGAGTACTAGCCAGGTCGAGCTAGGCCTGAGCCAGGTCCAAGCTAGGCCTGCCAGGGCCCAAGCCAAGCCCAAGCCAGGCCTAAGCCAGACCCAAGCCAGGCCAAAGCCAGGTCCGAGCCAGGCCAAAGCCAGGTCCGAGCCAAGCCCCAAGCCAGCCCAAGCCAAGCCCAAGCCAAACCCAAGCCCAAGCCAAACCCCAAGCCAAACCCAAGCCACGCCCAAGCTAGGCCCAAGCTAGACCCAAGCTAGACCCAAACTAGACCCAAACTAGGCCCAAGCCAAGCTCAGCCAGGCCCAAACTAGGCCCAAGCCAGGTCCAAGGCAGCCCAAGCCAGGTTCAAATAGAAGAGATATACCAGATAGAAGAGGAGTAGCTAGTAGATAAATCTTTAGACATGCCCGTTCTGCTCGATCAAATCGGTCCACACGCAATGTCTTGGCAACCCGATTGGGCAAACACCTGGAAAGAGGAACCGTGCAATTGTGCCCCAGCCACATATGGAGGTTTGGCTTTTCAATGCAATTTTTGTTCTCAAAAAGAAAGATCTGGCACTCTTTCATTGCAAATTTCTAGGAATGATCCCGTATTTTCATCCGGATCACTATCCAGCCGAATTCGTCAGCAAAACGAGCACAATCGGCTGAAATGCGTGGCGAGTATCTATGATAATCCAAATATGTACAATATGAATACAAATTCGACGGCTTGTTTGAAATATTGATTGAAATATTGATTGATATTAATGATTGATCTGTGATTTGAATGTTTGATAAAATTACTTTAATTTACTTTAATTTACTTTAATTTACTTTACTTTACAACTGATCTTTCATCGTTTACGTTACTGATTGCATAGCATTTCTTGGTACTTTTCCAATATCGGGGAGCGAAAGGAAAATCGGGGAGCAAATTTTGCCCCTCGAAAAAATGCATTTCCGGGACTGTATTTTAACTGAAACGTTTTTTTAAAAACTTTAACGACGATGCGCTTCTCCGATATTTGTGCGTTCAAGGAATCGACGGCAATCGATTATTTCGTCACCAAAGGAGTCATCCAGTCGTGGATTTGCAACTGTGGCAAATTGATGAAAGTCCGCTCAAAGGGAAAAGATCTATTTCGCTGGGTATGTGACACTTGCGCACGGCGAAAGGTCCCCAAGTATTCAAGAGGAATTCGAGTCGATAACTTTTGCAACCAAAGCAAGCTCCCGTTCGTCACAATTTTAAATAGGACATATGTAGCGAATTGCTTGATTTGCTCCCAAAATTTGCTCCCCCGATTTTCCTTTCGCTCCCCCCGATAATCGGACCGCTCCCCGATATTGGAAAAGAACCCATTTCTTTCTTCATGTGAATCAACAATTATATATTAGAAAACACTACTGTTATTGCTTTTTGAGTGTTTTCTAAAAGAGATTCGAGATTTCGAACTTTTTTACAGCAAGTTTTAACGTTTACAAGCGATCTTTTAGCTATCATCAAGCTATCATCAACTCAATTCTTTATCAACAATTCCCCTGGCTCCTATTGTTTTTGTGAATTGCAAAGATTTTTTTAAAAAAGTTAACTTAATGAGAAATTAATGATAAATTAAGTTAAACTTTCCTTTTCAGCTCCTTCAATTCCTCGAAATTGTTCTACTTTCTTCAACGACAAGAACACGCGGTTCGCTAACGACCTTATCAAGCTGATGATTGAAGTTAATCAAGAGCTAATCAAGCCTAATCAAGCTAATCAAGAGCTAATCAATCCAGAGTTCCTTTCGACGGTTTGCTGACTCTTTTCTTGACTATTCATTTGAATGTTGTAGGTTTCGAACGATGCTAGTCGCTATGGACAAGCAAATTCGCGTGGACGTGGAAGCCGAGGTGGATCACGCAATATGCCTCACCGCGATTATCGGATTCAAAATTCCGGAAGCCACTATCAGCCTTCACCAGGTTTCAACGTAGTTGTCTATTCTTAATTTTTGCTTTAGCTGAGTCTTCAAGGGACGGCTTCGCCCAAAACCCACCCAGAGCAAAGATTGGTGGGATTGAAGTGCCTCACGTAAAAATCTATTTCAATAGTTTTTTATTTTTCTTTAATTGATTTTTAGGTGTGTTTGATTGGGGAGTGGGACAAATGCGACCTTTTTTTTTGCTTGGAAAGGCCTTAGGAAAGGTCGTAGAGCTTCAAAAATGTTTTCATAAGAAAGGTCAATATGCGTAGATTCCGAATTTCGACAAATCAGACCTCGCTGACACGTTAAATTTGAGCTAAAAGGCAAAAACTACGCAACTTAACGCTTTTCCGCAGTCTTTGCCTTTTTAGTCCAAATTTGATGTGTCAGCGAGGTGTGATTTGTCGAAATTCGGAATCTACGCACACGATTCCCTTTATATGGAAATATTTTTGAAGCTCTACGCCCTTTCCTAAGGCCTTTCCCAAAAAAAGGTGCGCAAATGTCCAGGTGCGAAAAAAAGGTCGCATTTGTCCCACTCCCTTTGATTGTGATGTTTGTGGCTTGAGTTTTATTCCGCTCTGCGTCTAATTCCATATCGTGTTTGTGGAATTATTTAAAAACCCCTTTGCCCTGTGAAATGTGGTGTTCTCCCTTTAATTGTATTGTTTTTGTGTATTTCATAAATGGTTTTCAGAAGAAAATGGAATTGTGCTGGAGTGTACACGTGCGCTCATATTGTTGATGAGAGCTAAAGTGGAATGTGATTATCGTCATTGATGATGCAGAAGGTTGAGAGCTACCTTGGCGGTCGATTCGCCAATAGAGAAGAGGTTCATTTAACCTTAAAAACCTCCTTAAGGCTAGTAATTCGCCACCACCAAAACTTTACGTCGACACTTTTAGTCGACACGACACGTCGTCGACACACCTCAAGCTTCTTCGAACAGCTTAATTCATTGAGAAGGTCTTTTAAAATTCGATTCTAAATCAACAAAGTTTTAGTAACCGTTTATTATGTGACGTTTCACTGGTACCAGTGAAACGAGTCTCCTTGACAGACCTGAAACTCCTTCGAACTTAAAGGCCCGCCAATTTATGCACACAAGTAAGACTTTTAGTCAGCACTCTAACTGCAATTTTAGAGTTATTCTATCTTCTACATCTCCCTATTTTTGTGCCATGTTTGCAACTTCCAATATGATTGAATCGAAAGTTATCACTGTAGAATTACATGATATGGATCAAGAGGTACGAAAGTTAACACAAGTTGTATATGTCGTAGCCGCTTACGAAATTCAGCCGCTAACGAATGAGGGTATTTCCGGGCATCCAATCAAAAGTCACCCACATAAAAATGTTCATAATACATATATTTTATAATAAATTTTTGAAATTAGCTCATTTGGTTCAGTAGAAAATTTTTTTTGAGCCCCCAAAGTTTAGGTTCAAAAATGCCCTAAAATGGCTATAAAAAATTTTCTACTCAGCCAAAAAACTTGCCTAATAGCTCATTTTGTAGCCAGTTTGATGTAGATTCTTAAAGTAAAGCCATCTAAAACAATTTTTCGTTGAAAGTAGGAGAAAGAGGGCGAGGAATAAATTCAGGGCAATTCTCAAATGTGAAAACAGCGACCGAGTTCAACTGAAGTCGTTCCTCGCCCTCTTTCTCCTAGCTTTGAAAAACAAATGTTCAATGTAGCTTTACTTTAAGAAACTACATCAAATTGGCTACAAAATGAGCTATTAGGCAAGTTTTTTGGCTGAGTAGAAAATTTTTTAAGAAAACGGTTAACTCAATTTGAGCGGAGCCAAAACTTGATCCAAAGGTACCCATCCATTTTTTGGCCATCTCTTCTTCTGTGCAGTCAATTTGCCCAAAAGCTGAACAAATTCAAAAGCTTTTTATATCAAAATGTAGAGGAGATCTTCAGCTTTCGAATAATACTCATATATATCCTTTTCTTGATTTCGGTATCTTGAGAAATTTACAAAATAGTAAAAACGCGCATTCATAACTGGACAACCCAATAGATAAACTTGTTAACGATTTTCTATTCTAACATTTCTTTAAGGGTATTCTTCTGGAGGCAAGTAAAGTACATCTACGCCGAGGGCGATTTTCCCCATCTGCCTCATCACTTCGTGAGCGGTTTGTCCGACCCCGACAACAAATTGGATCGAACAAGGTTTGATTAGTGTATGATTCAGAAATATTGTGGTTCGTAGATTATGATAGTCGTCGGAGGTCAGGCACCAAAGGCAATTCATAATGTTGACGCCTATGATCCAACTACAATGCCAATGGACTTCTTGTTAGTCTTCAATCAATTTTATTCTAAAAATGGCTTTAGTAAGCCCTTTATCGCAAAGACGTTGCCGGTGTGGTGTTGCCCTAATCGATCGTCATATCTATGCTGTTGGTGGTTTTAATGGAGCTCAGCGAATGAAATCTGTTGATGTGTATGACACTATTAGGTTGGTTACTTTGATTGCCCATATGCATTTTGTTTTTAAATAATTTTTCCAAACAAAAAAATTTAGAAATCAATGGATCCCTGGACCACCTATGAGGTATTAGTTTGTGATAGAAAATGTTATGGTACGAGTGACTTGTTAAGTTGTTTGGCTTGTAATCAAAAAATTTTAGGCTCGTCGGGGAACTCTTGGGGTCACCACTTTCAACGATCAGGTATTGATTGCTGTAGGACGGTTTGATGGAGGGATTGCACTGGGACTGGGATTGCAAATGCTGAACTGTTGGATCCACGAACAGGTTCGCTAAGTTATTTTGCAAAAACTATTGTTGTGTTTAGAAGATTGATCAGAACTTGCCTCGATGACAACGCGTCGATCGTCGGTTGGCGTGACGTCTGTTGGCTCGAGTGTTTACGCGGTTGGCGGATACGATGGTCACAGTAGTAGACATTGTTTGAATACGGTATGTCTTTTGATCTGCGAGCAAATCGTTGGCGTGCTGGGGAACCATTACGCGAGGTAAGTTTTTATTTACAGCTTTTCTTAAAATTGCATTAGGTTCGATCTGGAGCTGCAGTATGTTCTCTTAATGGTTCAATCGTTGCTGCGGGTGGTCACGAGGGAGCAACTGTGAGAGATACCGTTGAGGTTTGTAACATTTTCGTATGAAATTATTCAGAAAAAAATAGATCTATAATCCTGGGGTAGATGATGATTGGGCATTGATTCCAAACATGAGCGCTCCAAGACGAAACGCGGGTGTACTTTTTGTGAATAGGTAATCAAGCTTTTGAGTAAACATAATAAATTTATTGCAGCTCTTTAATGGTTTTCGGTGGCGATGAGGGAGATTCTCATTTATTGGATTCGATTGAAACATTGACAATGGATATGGGTAGAGGACAACGGGCAGAGTTTGCCGGAAGATGGCAAGTAATAGAGGTACTTTGAATTTTCTTTAAAAATGAGCATTTTATTTAGTCAACACTTCCGCAACCTCGATCATATAGTGGATTAGTGCTTGTCGATAAGCCGTAGCTAAAATTTAGTTATTATCTTTAAGCATTTGTTTCCATGGATTTCATGTTTCTGATTTTTTTTTCTGATCTAGTCCTTCAGTTTTTATTTTTGTTATAACCTTGTTGTCTGAAATAAAAAAAACTTTTCTTTTACTGGTACGTAACGCGTTTGAACACGTTTGAGATACTCTTGGGTGTAAAAGCACACAGCTCGATTAAACGCACATTTTAGGCTTTTCCAAGTTGATGACAACTTCCTATAACCTTAAATGGACGCGGTTTTTGATCCAGCAAAAGTAAAGTTTAAAATTTCGAAAACTAGCATGGGTTTTAGGTTAAACATGAAGTTGAAGAAACTCGCGGAGAGCGCCGTCAATGCATTCCGGCAATCGAAGTAACTATTTTTTTTAAAATTTGATAACTGTTTCAATGTAGCCCCTGCCGGAAGCAATAGAGGTACTCGAGCACGAACATATGGCCATGGTTGAACATATGAACGAAGATACTTTATTTGTGATGGCAAGGTTTAAAGCTTTCAATACAATACAATGTTGTTGGGAAAGATTTTTCCAATTTTATTTTTAATCTTTTATCAATTTAGTGGACTTGGCGTCGAAAGATTGTTTTTGAACTTTCTAATGTTGTACTCGAGTCGAAAACTTCTCGCTTTCGTCATCAACACTACACAAGAAGACGAAGCTTTCCTCCTTTCTAAATTGCATTCGCTTCCAGCCAACGAGTTTGCCCCTCCAAAAGTGATAAAAGCAGAAGTGCTTGCCTCGGATCGGTATGAGTGTTTTGCTTACAATAACATGAGATCTTTTAGAGAGGCGTTGTATTTGCAAGGTGGCGTACAATTCATCACTTCTCGCATTTTGATGGTGGATTTTCTCACAAATCGTGTTCCAGCAAAGATGGTGGCAGCTATACTCGTTTACCGAGCACATCAGTAATAACTTTTGCGTTTACTAAACCGTTGTTTCTATTTAGGCTTTTGAATAGTTTTCAAGAAACGTTTATACTTCGATTATACCGTGAAAAGAACCCGGAAGGTCATGTGAAAGGCTTTACAGATATGCCGATGTATTTTGCTGGAATAGGACAGTTACAAAGGTATTTGAGTTTGGAATTTTAGTAAAAGTGGGGAATAAACAAATGGGGAAGCTGCTTAAATTTATATTTACAGACTCGTTGATCGCCTGTTTGTTCGAAAAGTGCATCTTCTCCCACGACACGATACGTCGGTTGTCAAAACCTTTGCGCGTGCTCCGGTAAGCAGTATGGGGTTAAACATATACAAATGATCACAAATGGCTTAATAAACGTTTCTTTTTAGCCGTCGTCTATCGAAATAACGGTTGATTTGTCGGGAGGCACACGACGTTGTATTTCGCTGATAACTGATTTGTTAAAAGTTTGCCTTCGGGAATTGAAACAATCTTCTGTTAGAAACAAAGTGAGACATTTCTCTGTTTTTCCAACTATTCATTTTTAGAAACAAGAAGAAGAGGAGAGTGATTCATTCAACGCTGGTGTTTATTTCACGACAGAACTCGAGAAGAGATTGCAGTACAAGGGGTAATAGAATATCTATAATCACAATTCGTAATCGTTTGCATTGCAGATCTTTTTTACCGGATCGTCAACGGCGGCTTTTGTCGGATTTAAAATTTTTGCGAAACCTTTTGCGGACGGCAGAGAATCTTGATGCATGTACAGTGCTGTATAAGCTAAACGAGCTTGGAAACGATAAAGAAGTTGTTTATATGTGATTATTACATCTAAACTTATTAGTTTAGGCCCTGGAAGAGTCCACTGGATGGTCGTTTACTCCAACTGGAGCGCGACTTAAGGCCATTGCCCAGGAGCTTGCCTCATTTGCATCCAATCGTCCCGAATTTGTTGGTTCGTGTGACTTTTGTTTTTGAATCCCACCGTATTTAGCCCCGCCTAAATGGACATCATTAGAATCCGTTTTGGATGAGATCAAAGAGCTTCATATTCCAAAAGAAAAAATTCCAAATAATGGTTAGTTGAATACAACACAGTTTCAAAAGTTTTATAGAACCACGTGTTTTGGTTTTCACTTCGAATGAACAAGCCCAGTTACAAGTGGTAGGACTAATTAGACAAGGAATCGATCGAACAAAGGTGAATCGTTTAGTATAAATCTATGATTGCAAGTTTTAGTCGGTTTTAAAAAGACTCGTGCGTCCAACAACTACAGAGGCTCCTATTAAACCAATCTGGAATCCTGATCAAGTATCTTCGTTTTTTGCCGATGAAGCGGTGAGACTTTGCTTTAATTTGTTTGATTGTTTAAAAGAATTTAGAATCCCGGAAGCTCTACTCGCAAAGAAGTGATTGAAAACATTCAAAAGCAGCAGAAGGAAGCGGCTCGGGTTGCAAAGAAGCGGTCAGTTTTACTTTGACTTTTAAAAATTAGTTTTATATTTAGAAAGAAGGTTGCCGAAAGTCTCATAGCTGTCAAGCAGAAGAATCTTGAACATTTTGGTGTGATACGATACAAGAAGCTGACGGAAACGAGAGAAAAGGTAACATTTATTGAATACTGACGGCAAAAACTTGAACAACATGTGTAACAGCTCATAGGTGAAATAGTAAGATCATAACTATTTTTGGCTTAAGAGAGTTTGGTGAAGAATTCAAGTTGCAATTCGGTGTCTCCGCTGAAAGTGAATCGATTTCTGCAAAGGCGCCAGCCGAGCAGAAATTGGACTCCCGAAAAAGAACTCTCAATTTGGAACAGAAAAAAATGTGATGCGCAAAAAAAGGAGAGATTGTCGAAAAAGTTTATACCGTATTTCTTCGAATAGAAGACCGGGTAAAGAGTATCATCGCGTACTCCTGCGTAGCAGCCCTTTTTTAAAATTTCTTTTCTGCATAAAAGCTTTCAATGAAGTGCTATAGGGCTGGAAAATGACTCAAAAATACCACATGAGCTAACAGATTTTTGAGCCATTTTCCAGCTCTATAGCACTTGATTGAAAGCTTTTATGCAGAAAAGAAATTTTAAAAAGGGCTGCTACGCAGGAGTACGCGATGATACACTTTACCCGGTCTTCTATTCGAAGAAATACGGTATTTTGTGTCTGGTTGTCTGGGGGAAATCGGCTGATCTCATGAGCTTTTAAAAGTTGTTATTATATGCGTGGAAAGAGATCAATTCAATTAATTTCAAAAACTGAGAAAATTGTGCATCGAGTTTTTAAAAATGCAGGTAACAACATATTATAAATGACCATGTATACTAGCTTTTAAACTCCTAATAGCTAGGTATATTGCAAATAGAGTAGACAGAGATATGAAAAATAAATAAAAAGGCTATTTGCTAGCAATTCTTGACAACATTTGCAGGTTTCCCTTTAGCAAACCAATTTCAGGTCGGAGAGCCCGGTCCATCGAACACTTTTGCCGAACAGGGAAATGAAGTGAAAGAAGAAGAGGACTTATCATTAACTGAGAACATGCTCAAATTGGGAGAGTATGAAAAAGTGAAATGAAGTGATCTATTTAGAAATGATCTTTTTTTTAGTTCCCGATTTACGTTGTGAATTCATCTGGGAGTGATCGATACAACACTATACGGGCTTTACAAAATGTGAAACCAGTTGTGATCATTATGTACAATACGGATCTTGCTGTTTTAAGACAAGTTGAGGTAACGACATATGCCACGAGAAAATTTAAACTGTTGCCTTTTAGCTATATCATGCACTCAATAGTGAATACTGTCTTTATTTTTACTTGTTACAGTATGCGGAATCGACAGAGGAAGAGAGGTCCGTAAAAGGTTTTGCATTGAAAAATTTTTTTTTTAGATATCTAAGCCTCTTGAGTCGAGAAAATGAAGCTTTTTCAAATTTGAGAAATGAAGTCGAGGTAATGAAAACCTGTACATATGGTAAACCTTTGATTTAGAATTTGCTAGTCAGTAGAGAGTACGATACAATCAGAGAAGAAGCCCCAAGACTATCGGTTTCGACTTTGAATGCCGGTGGATTTGAGGAAGGAACATTGCCTCCACCCAAAGTAAAAGGAATATTTGTATTACAATAATCCATTGTTTAGATTATCGTTGATATGCGAGAATTTAACAGTGAATTGCCAACGATTTTATACAAAAAGGGCTATGATGTGGTGGCTGCAACACTCGAGGTCTATTTTAAATCCTTAAAGCTAATAATAAACTTTGACTTATTCAGGTTGGTGATTACATTTTGTCACCGGGAATGACCATTGAAAGAAAAGCTCTCGATGATTTGACCCAATCTTTGCAAAGCGGTCGTGTGTTTAAACAAACTGAACAGGTAAATTGCTTTTGTGAGGGTCGAGGAAAAATTACCCTTTTAGATGCTCAGACATTATGGATCGGCCTTTTTGTTAATTGAGTCAAACACGCGTTTTGAGCTAAAAATCGTCAATGGAGGGCCATTTCAGGTTTACTGAAATTTTGTCATAACAATGGGTATTTAGGGTGAAATGTCAAGAAATTGCCGAGAAATTCGTCGACAATTGTGTACTTTGATACGATCGTTTCCAAAACTTCATTTAATCTGGTCAATGTCACCGACAAACTCTGCAGAATATTTTGCTGATCTCAAAGTAATGATTTCTTATGATAGTTAAATCAAGGAATACAGGTTAATGCCTCCGATCCGGATGTCGAAAAAGCAATAGCGCTTCGTGGTGACGATGTGAATGAAGATGGTAATTTAGGTATTTTTTATAAAGACGTGGCCATTTAGATGATCAAACGAATCGAAACAATGGCAAACTAAATACAACTCTTTTACGTCACTTATCGGAAAAACTGCCCAAGTTCAACAAGGTATAATTTTCGTTTGCGGAGCTGGATCATCGTTAATTTCAGACTTTGGCTCAAAAACTGATGACCTCGGATGTTGGGAAGAACCTCTCCGAATTGATAAGATGTGATGCTGACAAGCTAAAATCGGTACTGCCTGATCACGGTGATTCGTTGCATTTTTTCTTTAATTATGATTTTATGATTAAATAAGCATTGCTGTTTTTTAAAAATTGTGATCTTCATCTATTAAGAGCTTAACTTTTGTAAGGGTGTTGGTATCGTTTATTTTAATTGCGCGTTTATGTTTTGTTTGAATAAAAGTCGATATTTGCTAGAAAACAGCTCAAAGTACAGTCTTAATAACATTGACTTTGAAAAATTGGGAATTTGAAGCGGAATTTGCACTTATCTTGCCCTTGCAAAAACAACGAGGTAGCTTTTTTTTTCTCATTCCTCCATTGATTTTCCATTTTACCCAAGGCAAAGAAAGAAAAGCACTCAAAGTTGCACGAAACACAATTTTTGCAAATGCAGGGTGGGCCAAAATTACCCTTACAATGCTCACTCACGCGCAAATGCGAAAGCGAAATGAAAGAAAGCGAACGGTAACAACTTCAGCAAATGTCAAAAAAAAAGTGAGGAATCGTCTGTTGAAAACGCCAAACTAATCGGTGCGGAAAATGTCACAAAAAAATGGGGATACAGAGCGAAAATCCCTTAGAAGAATCATGAAAAACAAGCTCAAGTTAAAGGTCTACAAGAAAAATAAATCACAACTGCTATCAGTTGACGCTATTAACCACACAAAGCTGTTGATAGTTTGAAAAAAGCGCTCGAAAAGGCTTGGGAAGAGCTGGATCTCCTATACCTTCTCGCCACGATCGACGCTTTTCTACGACGTTTGGACGCCTGTGTAAAAGCTATTGGAGATTTTTTTGAAAAGGAATAGTTTTTATGAATTGTTATGAGACAATAAAAGTTATTTTTTTCAGAAAAATCTTTGACCTTTTTGAGTTGCTTTTTATACAGAGACTTTTTTTATATGTAACGCTAATTTTGGCCCGAGCCAGAGTTCTCTTCTCTGGTTAAGGAACGGACTCGCTGGAAACGTTTCAGCCGAAGATAGCGACGTTGTTTCCGTAAAGCGTCACGGTTTCTGTGGCGTCTCGTGCGCCTGGCTGTCCTTGAAAAACCGAGGGAACCAATTTGAATCTCGTACCGGATCGTACTCATATCCGCAGCAGGTTTCCAGGGTGAACAGCCTCTAGTCGATAGAATAATGTAGGTAAGGGAAGTCGGCAAATTAGATCCGTAACTTCGGGAAAAGGATTAGCTCTAAGGACTGGCCTGGTGGTAACTGCGCAATAAACTGCCCAATTTCGCTTTTTCGTGATGAAACTTTGATATTGATTACAAATATTGATTATAAGGTAAATTTTTCTATATCTAGAAACTAGATTCTGAAAATCGTAGTTTCACAGCGATTCACAGCGATTTCACAGCGTATTTTCACAGCGATTCACAGCGATTTCACAGCGTATTTTCACAGGGATTCACAGCGATTTCACAGCGTATTTTCACAGCGATCTTTATGATAGAGCACTCTATCATAAAGAAAAACAGATTTAAAAATCAAAAATTTTGAGTATCCCATCTTGTGCGTGCGGAAATGCGTCAAAAAATACTGTATTTCTAAATATGAATATTACCATTGTGTAGCCCTTGAAACGAGCTTTCAGAAATTGTATAACACTAATAGTTTAAACTCAAAGACAAGGGAGTTACAGATGCGCGAAAGTGACAATGACAAAAGTGACGCTTTTCAAGTATGATATTTCATTGTCCAGTACTGTATATCTACTTTTCGATCCATACGATCGTGAGCCGATTTCTGGGATGACAAGCCACTGCTAAAATTAAAGTAGATTAAAGTAAAGTACCGCTAGATTGTGATTGATAGCTTTCCCTGACTTCCACTTAAATAAAATTAGATTGTAGGATTGAGCTATTCACCCCAATCACTAGACGTTTGATATCCTCCTTCCGAGTCACTAAAGGTTAATTGGAAAGTTATTCAACGGAAAGTTCAAATGATTACCAGATTGTGATCCACTTTGAAAATTCAGGTTCTCATTTGCTGTATAACACTAATAGTTTAAACTCAAAGATAAGGGAGTTACAGATGCGCGAAAGTGACAATGACAAAAGTGACGCTTTTCAAGTATGATATTTCATTGTACAGTACTGTAAAAGCTTAGAAGAATAATACATGTAAGAAAATAAGACATGATTAGGGTAGTTAAAAAAAGCGGCCAATTTTTAGAAAACAAACTTTATTCATCATTTAGACAATCCTTTCTCATCTCCAAGTAACGGTGATGGTCAGCAATCTCAACAATCTAACTTTGCTGGCTCTAGTAGTGAAAGAAAGTTTAAATCTTGAAAGCCTTGAAAGCTATAACAAGCTATAACAGCTATAACAAGCCCAAGAAAATAATCTTCAAGCTATTCACAAAGCAAATAAGACATTGAGGATTGTTTCCGTTACACAAATCCTTGTTTAGTGTCTTCTATTTCTTTTTACATGATTCAAAAGCTGAAATTGATCTAATAAATTCTTATTTAAATAGATTCTACAATATTTTCTCTATTTTTTTGATTGATGATTGATTAAGTGTTCACAAATCATTCAATCAGCTCTTCATTGAAATCTCCCGCTCTTTGAGCACTTTCTTTATCTCTTTATCTATTTCAAGAGTCACAAAATAGAAATTTCTCTAAAGGAATTTGAAAAGATTTAAAGAAGGAATGCAGATCGCGGTTGAGTTTTGAACAAAATTTTATCAAACGGTCACTAAGATGGAGATTCCTGTTAGTGACAAATTGTATTCATTGTACAGGAAATTTCCGCCCTCTAAAGACAACTATCAAAATGGTGATCCAGTTAGTGATTTTGACGTCGCTGACAACGATCTCGACAAACTTGGAGCTAGGTTGGTGGAGCCATTCAAAGAAAAGTTTATGAGTTATCGTCCTTGAACGCGCGTGATACCATGTTGCGACAATTATGGTGCACCCTGTAGTTTGTCAACTTGTCTGTGTCAACTGTGTCAGCTGTCAGCTTGTCTGTGTCAGCTTGTCTGTGTCAGCTTGTCTGTGCCAGCCAGTTCCAATATGGTTCCAATATGGTTCCAATATGGTTCGGATACAATTCCAATATGGTTCCAATTTGGTTCCAATGTCAGCTGTCAACTTGTCTATGTCAGCTGTGTCAGCTGTCAGCTTGTCAGCTGTCAACTTGTCTGTGTCAGCTTGTCTGTGTCAGCTGTCAACTTGTCTGTGTCAGCTATGTCAGCTGTCAGCTTTTCTGTGTCAGCTGTCAGCTTAAATCCGAGTTGTGCCCGTTCAAAACGCTACTAGTTTATTCAGATTTGTTCAATCTCTATAATTTTCGCACAAAAACATTCTCAAAATCGATGGAAATGAAACTTTGCTTTGTTTTGACTTTTTCTCTAGCAATTTAGCACTCTAGCACTAGCAATAGTGCTATTTTAAAGCGCGATTTTCATCTTTTTACGTCGATTGGCACCATCACCGTTAAAAACCTATAGAAATCACTTTTTTTTGCGTGAATTTGAAGCTGAATTATGGTCTGAATTAGCAAAAGGAAAGCCCTTTATACCAAAGGGATTTGCCAGATGGAGAGCGATTAGCGTACGGTGTACAGTGGAGTACAGTACAGTACAGTACAGTTTCCGGTAAACAGCTATCAAGTTTTAACTCATTATTTGTTTACTCGTCACTTTTCCCCAAGTTTTCTTCTCTTTTTGAGTCCCATTTCCCTCAATGCTTGTTATCTATTTGACCAAAAAACGCCTAAAAAAGTGTTTTCCTGTCTAACTTCTCTAAAATTTCTTTATCTTTTCATAAAATCGATGTCATTTTGTAAAAGAAATCAGAAATTCACTCAACTAGCGATTCGAGTTCAAGCGATGAGAATTCTGAGAGAATTCGTCTCTCGTCTCAATTTTATTCATTTCCTTCTCGTTTTATTTATTACAGCTATTCTTTTCATTGCTTGTTTTAAAGGTTTTTTTTGTTTTTATTTTTGAATTTTTCATTGATAAAACTAGAAATGGACGAAAGTTTACCAAGAAATTTGCACGTTTTTCCGAAGGATTTTATTTGGGCCTCAGCAACAGCAGCGTATCAAATCGAAGGTGGAAGCGAGGAAGGAGGCGAGTTAAATGCTTTTTATTATCGATTATTTAGATTTTAATGCCTATTATCAACACTTTACTAGTTTATAGTTGTTTTGCAGTGCGTGAGAGGGTACCGATGATTATTTAGAGATTTATTCCGGCAATAATTATTTAAAGATTTATTCCGAATCTAGCACAATCACTAATCTAGCGAGAAAATCCAATAAATAGAATCAATCGTTGGTTCAGTGTTTCAAAGCCAAAGAAAAGCAATACAAAGTGAGCTCCGTCCCTTTTTATCACACAAACGATCTTTAGAGGAAGGACAAGAGACTCAGAGATATTCAAAATCAAAGTATCAAAGCATCAAATAAGATTTCACAGAAAAGAGCTACTTTTTTGCACACCATGCCTATTTTTACGAAATTAAGCAGAATTTCTTACGACTCTTACGAACATTTTGATGTATTGGGTTGGGGAGAATGATCCTTCTGTGGAGTAAATCCTGGAAACTTAACATTGCGCCGGACAAATGCAAACACGTTACATTTGGTTCATTACATATCCCTTTAAATTTGGGGGACCTACAATTACCACAAGGATTGGCCGATGACCCTGTAAAAGACCTTGGTATACTGTTAGTTCCCTCTCTAAAATTTGATCCTCACATAAACTACATTTCCAAAAAAGCTTCTAGAATTTCTAACATAATACTTCGCGCCATTTGTTTCCCTAAAATCGCGACTTATCGCAGGGCTTTTATAACCTATTGCCGGCCTTTGCTCGAGTATGCCACCATCGTATGGTCACCTTCCATTAAGAAACTTATCACCTTGGTTGAAAATGTACAACGGCGTTTCACTAAAAAAGCATACACTCGTTGTTTCCCTTCTTCTCTTATTCCAAATTATGAGACTAGACTTATAGTTTTTTGATTTAAAACCCCTTTTATATCGCCGTATTTACTTGGATCTGATTTTCTGCTATAAAATCCTTTTCCACCCTAAGGCGCATCCGGAATTTCAAAGTCTCTTGAAAATTGTGGAAAGTCCTAGAAGAACCCGTAGTCATCCTTATCAAATTTCGCTCGGTTCTCATCCCCACCACCTTTCCCTTTATCATTCTTTCGCGAACCGTATTAGTAGGGTTTGGAATAAGCTCCCGCCTGGTATCTTCTCGTCTGTAGGAAAATTCAAAGTATCTGTAAACGAATTAGATCTAATTGCCATGTCAAATCTGCCTTATATTTAATCTTTTTGTACCTGTTTTTCCTGACTATCGTCTTACTGTATCTCTAGGTTTCTTTCTTTTTTTGTGAAAGTATTGTAGCAATTATATGCGGTTATGATTATCTGATTCGTTTCTATTCGCCCTCCTGAATAAAGCATATATATAAAAGAGCTACTTTTTTTGCACACCATGGCTATTTTTACGAAATTAAGCAGAATTTCTTACGACTCTTACGAACATTTTGATGTATTGGGTTGGGGAGAATGAGTCGGCGCCAAACGTTAAAGGGACTTTTTGCACACATAAAGCCTTCTTTAAACATACGTTTGGTTTCATCAAAAGGATCCACTATTTCTCTACAAAATCACTTTTGAGAGATTCCACAAAGCTTTTCTTTCGTGGAGTTTATGAACTTCCAAACGCAGCTGGTTAAAATGGCAAAGAGTCCGACTCATCATTTGAACAGTTTCTTTCACATAAACCTTCTTTGGTGTTTATATAAAAAAGATAGAGCACATTCAATTACTTAAGTTGCCAAATTTGCAGGAAGATCCCACCAATGGTTTTTTCTAGATCACAGTTTGTAGTTTTTGTGAAAAAATGGCTTTTTCTTGAGCGGAGGCGCTGTTTGAATTTTCTTTTAAATGTGATTTTGTAGAGAATTCGTTAACCATTCTACTCATATCAAACGCATATTATTTGACGAAGTCGAATTGAAGTTTTAGACATTTTTTTGATTTTCGGCGCCGACTCATTCTCCCCAACCCAATAAAAATCATCAAATTTGCTCAACTCTACAAATTTCTTTAGAGATGTTATAACTTTTTGTAGAGTTGAGCAAATTTGATGATTTTTGCATCAAAATGTTCGTAAGAGTCCCTAGAATAAAAGTTATCCCTTCGTTTTTGGTTCTAGACCCTCGTTGTCGAGTTACGAGCTCCAAACTGCAGGGTACGACAAAATTTCCCATACAAAATGACCAAAAAACCGCTAAAACTAAATTTTTAAAAATTCTTTCAGAGGGATTTGGAAAATTCGTTCAGATTCGGAATCAGCACAATTTTCCGCATCTAAAAAAGCTACTCCCAGAAAAATCCGATAGAAAACGCATTTTTGCCTTATTTCGCGCCGATGTGGGGTGGGGTCCAATTACAGTATTTACGGTAACTACATTACAGTACAGTACAGTACAGTAAACAACTCAGTACGTAGTTTATAAAGTACCCAGCTGTCATGAACTAGTTGATGAAATTCACAAGTTTTTTTTGTACTTTTTTTTGTTTTGTTTTTTGTCTTAAATTTAGCTATAAGTATTAAGCATCACTAAAAAATTCAGCATTTTATTTTCTAAACTTATTTATCTAATAATTCTCTAATAATAATTAATCTAACAAAACTGGGAAGAAGAAAGAACTTTTAGGAAGAACCCTATCCGTTTGGGATCATTTGCGACGAATTCCTGGCTGTATCAAAGACAATTCCGATTCAAATCTCTCATGTGAAGGATTTAAACATTGGAAACAAGATGTGCAATTGTTAAAAGCTTTAGGAGTAAGCACAGAAGTATTGAAAATTCTTCAAAGAATTTCAGGTAACACATTATCGTTTCTCTGTTTCGTGGTCAAGAATTTTGCCGACTGGAAAAACGGATAAAATCAACGAGCAAGGAGTCGAATTCTATCGGAATTTGTGCTTGGAATTGAAAGCGAATGGAATTGAACCGATTGTAAGTTCAGGGTAATATACAAACAATTATCTGTTAGCTGTACCAGACTATAGCTAGTAAGTAGGCTACTTTTTATTTACTTACTAGCACTTAGTTCAATGCATAGTACAATACCTAGAGTACAATACAATGCATAATACAATACCTAGAGTACAATACAATGCTTAGCACAATACCTACAGTACAATACAATTCATAGTACAATACCTACAGTACAATACGAAAACTTAAAACTAGATCACCATGTTTCACTACGATTTCCCGATTCAACTCCACGAAGAAGGTGGCTTTCTGAATCGGAAATCGATTGCCTGGTTTACCGATTTTGCGAGAATCTGCTTTGAGAAATTTGGGGATTTGGTGAGTTTCTGATAGCCGCAAAACAACAAGCTCTCTTTATGAGGGCTGTCTTCAGTCGACGGGCCAAGTGGTGTAGTGGTGTAGTGGTTAGTGCGCGCGTCTGCCGGGCGTATCCGCTTTCGGAGCCCTAGGGTTCGAGTCCTTTTGATGAAAATTTTTTGTCTTCTAAAGTTCTATTGTTTCCTATAGCCTAAAGCCAAACCCGTCCCTGTTTGCTTACCCGTTAAGGCTTTGGGAACAGAGCTTTGGGAGCAAAAAGCTTTGGTGCAAGTTTTCCATCAGCATATATTATAGTCAGAATTGTATATATACGTCGCCCGCATAAAGAGACCCCAAAAACTTGTATGCCAAATATCTCCCGATAGAGAAGCGTTTGGCAAAAACTGATTGCAGATTCGGAATCAGCGTAAAAAACTGCAGCAGATAGGCTATTCCCCGAGTCAAAAACCACGATAAGTCAACAAAATTCCTTAGTAAGATCTAAGATCAATCAAAATCTGATTCTCTAGGTGAAAACCTGGGTAACATTCAACGAGATCATCCCAAATGCCTCTTTCGGTGTGGTCCCGATGGAGAATTTGCCCAAATTTGCGTTGGATCCCGTGATACCGCTGGAGCAATGGAATATCACCAAAAGACAGGTGCAAGATTTTAAATTTGAATTGGGCTTAAATGGATTGAGCATTGAGAAGATAAAGTTTCTCGATTCTCGATGAATGTAAAAGAAATCCCTGATCAATACAGGCGCCTTACCTGGCCGCACATCATCAAATCCTCGCGCACGCCAGTGTTTACCGTTTGTACAAAGAGGAATTCTATTCAAAGCAAAAAGGTGAATGACTTGAAATAGTTTTGTTTAATAGTTTATTGAAATAGTTTTTTCTCATTGATTTATGCAGTTTTGAATCAAATTCTCATAGATTTATGCAAAAATTTTAGGCAAAATCGGAATCGTTTCCGGTGGTCGAGCCGCTGAAACTCCTGATGAAAGTAAAGAGAGCCTTGAGGCGGCAAAAAGGATGATCAATTGGCAATTTCTGTGGATGAATGAGCCAATCTTCGGTGATGGTTCGTTTATTAATCATGAAATTGATAGAATCAAGTTTTTTTGTTAGAAAAAGAACAGCTTTAAGTTTTCCTAGATTTCTTGTTTTTTAAAGCTAAAGGAAACAGCTATCGGAGTCTAGCTTTAGCCTTTACTTTGTTAAATTTTAATACTCTAGCCTCAAGAATTTGAACCTCAAGAACCTGAACCTCAAGAACTAGAACCTCAAGAACTAGAGTCTGAAGGACTTGAACCTCAAGAACTAGAGCCTCAAGAACTTGAATCTCAAGAACTAGAGCCTCAAGAACTAGAGCCTCAAGAACTAGAACCTCAAGAACTAGAACCTCAAGAACTAGAACCTCAAGAACTAGAGCCTCAAGAACTAGAGTCTCAAGAACTTGAACCTCAAGAACTAGAACCTCAAGAACTAGAGCCTCAAGAACTTGAACCTCAAGAACTAGAACCTCAAGAACTAGAACCTCAAGAACTAGAACCTCAAGAACTAGAACCTCAAGAACTAGAACCTCAAGAACTAGAACCTCAAGAACTTGAACCTCAAAGAACTAGAACCTCAAGAACTCGAATTTTCTCAAATCCTTCAAATAAGCTTCAAATTTCTTTGTCTTTTTAAGGAAAATTGAGTACTTGTCGGTTAGAAACCGATAAACATTTGCCTACCATAATAAGTCAAATGAAACAACTCAAATTAGCATAATAATCAGTAGTTCAAGGGTTAGTCGAGAGGCCAAGAGTTCAATCCCACCGGCTAGATTAGTAGTTCTTCTTGTCACCGTATTTTCTCTAATAGTAGTGCACCAGGACTATTTTACGGTTTCCAAGCTTTCGCAGAAGCTTAACACTCTAATCCCCTATTAGATCACATCATCAGCTACATTTTCCGACCCCACATCGATAGGTTCTGATAAGCGCTTTTCTAGATTTCGAGGAATTTAGCCGACGCTCAGGGTGCACTACTATTAGAGAAAATACGGTATTTGTCTAGTAATATAGATGATTAATTTCCAGGAGATTACCCGAAAATCATGCGCGATCGAATGGATTATTTAGCTGAAAAAGAGGGACTAAAAGAAATTTTACCCAAATTCACCGATGAGGAACGAAAAATGGTTAAAGGTGCGCCAAAACTTTCAAGCATTTCTTTTCTAAATGAACTTCTAGACTCTGCTGATTTCATTGGAATCAATTGGTATCTAAGTCTGATGGTGGGAAAATACAGAAATGATCCGAGCAACTCGTTCATGGAAAACGATGGGGATTATAGTTTTTATTCGGATAACAACGAGAAGTGAGGAGATTTTTCTTTAAGCTTATTATTCTTTTGGTTAAAATGATCTTTTTAAAGAATCAGTGGCGATCATTGGCTTCGAAATACGCCGAATGGCCTTATTGAGTGCTTTAAAACGATTAGAGACAACTATGGAAATGTGCCGATTCTTGTATCGTAAGGATTTTTAAAATTTCAATAGCTTAACAATTTAGTTATAGAATAATTGAATGCACTTTTTGCTTGTGTAAAAAACGATCTTTCTCTTGCTTTCGAACGATCTTTCGCGTTTTCCCACTTAGCTTTTTGTAGTGTAAAGAATTTAGTTTACAATAGAAAGGGTTTATTTGAGCACAGCTAAGCCAAAAAGTGCATTTCTGAATAGTCTAGTTCTCTAGAAAATCGTTTTTCATCTCTATTTCATCTCTATTTCATTTCTATTTCATTTTCTAGAGAAAACGGATGCGCCGATCATCTTCCCGTACAGATTTTGGGTGATCCGCTAAATGATTATCATCGAATTCGCTACATCCGAGCACATGTGGAAGCGATTGGGAAAGGTATTGGAATCTGGCTGGAATTAGGGCTTATTTTGTTCAACCAGATAGCCAGATAGCCAGAGCCAGATACTGATCTGGCTTACAGAAGATACTAGGATTAGGTCTAGCTCTGGCTTTGACCTAGCTTGACTTACAGAAACTGACTTAAAGAAACTTGACTTGACTTACAGAAACAGAAACAGAAACTCGCCAGATGCCATGTTTTAAAAACTCCAACCAACTCCATTTTATAGAATCGATTACGCTGATTCCGAATCTGTTTCCAGCTTTTCCCCTTGATGCCTGTAACGCGAGATATCTGGATTACAAGCTTTCGGCCTCTTTACTTGAGTTGATTTTTTACCGCCCAGCCAACTAGGGACGTAGTGAATTGGCAAAGCTGTCGACTACGGATCGAAAGCACCCTGGTTCGATCCCGTCTCTGACGAATTCATTTTGGTTTTTCAATCCGGCCCAAATTATTAGAACTAGACATGGTTTTCGGATCAGATAAAATTCGATTTGATCCAAAAAATTAGAATTTCGGATCTGATCCGATCTAATGGACGACTTTTTTAGGAGCTGATCCGAAAAAAGCCGACTCCAAAACCATGTCTAATTTAAGGTAGAAAGATATCAAAGTAAACATTTTTCAATCTTTAATTAGGAGCTTGTTATAACGTGTAGATCTGCAAAAGATGCCAGATTAAAAACAAAAGAAATTGGTTGAGAAGGGATCGAAACAAGGTGCTTTCGGCTCGTAGTTCACAGCTTTGGCGATGCACCACGTCGCTAAAAATTAAAAAACCAAAATGAATCGGCAGAAGACGGGATCGAACCAGAGTGCGTTCCATCCGTAGTCGCTTTGCCAATTCACTACGTCGCTAGATGGCTCGGGGGTAAAAAGATGAAATTAAGTAAAGAGGCCGAAAACTTGTAACCCAGATATCTCGCGTTACAGGCATCAAGGGGAAAAATTGGAAACAGATTCGGAATCAGCGTAGTCGATTCTATAAGATGGAGTTAGTTGGAGTTTTTAAAGGTTACAAGCATCTGGCAAAATTATGACTTTCGCCAGCCAACTCAATCTAAGCAATCTAAGCAATCTAAGCAATCTAAGCGATCTAAGCGATCTAAGCAGTCTAAGCAATCTAAGCATTCTAAGCAGTCTAAGCAATCTAAGCAATCTAAGCAATCTAAGCGATCTAAGCAATCTAAGCAGTCTAAGCAATCTAAGCAATCTAAGCAATCTAAGCGCCACCCAAATGGCTACACACAGACGTCCGTCTGTGTGAACACACGTCCGTCTGTGTGAACACACGTCCGTCTGTGCGAACACACGCCTCTTCTTCTTTATATAGTAGAGATTTAGCCATTGCTGACGATTTGAATATAATCGGTTACACGGCTTGGTCTCTAATGGATAATTTCGAGTGGGAAGACGGGTTCGCGGTCCGATTTGGATTGTACAGGTGAATTTTTTTTTGTCGTTTTTGTCGTTTTTGTCGCATATTGAGCTTAGAGATACTCAAAGAAAGAGAAAAATGATAAAATGAGTGCATTGGAAAGAGTGTATTTGCATTTGCATTTACATTTGCATGCCGAAACACAAAAGTACACGAAAAAATGTTTCAGAGTCGACTTTGATTCCCCGGAAAAAACCCGAACACCAAAGAAAAGTGCATTTTTCTATCGAAATTTGATTGATGAGCAGAAAAAGATTGTGGAAAAGACTGAATTGTGAGACTGAATTGTAAAAGACTCAAGGAAATAACTGATTGATTAATGAATAAAGAAATATTCAACAAATTTTCTCTTTTCAATGAATTTCTCTTTGTTTTCTTGGCTCTTGCCCAGTTTTCGGGGATTTTGAACGGATCGTCACACTTTAAAAGCCTATAACTTTTCCCAGAGACAATATTATTGCTAATTCTTTTAGATCGTTGCATAGAGGACATTTCAGGCTTTCGAATGATACTAAATTTGGATTGGATTATTCAATCAAGCTCGATTTGATGTCAGTCGAAAGTCTGAAATGTTTTCTGTACAATGATCTAAAAAATTAGCAATAATATTGTCGCTGGATAGAGTTATAGGCCTTCCAAGCTTGACGACTCGTTCAAAATCCCCGAAAACTACGCAAGAGTTGTTTTCTTGCTCGCTTGACTGAAATTTCTTTTATTGGGTTGATGCATAATTATCCGGACTTCTTTTATAAATGATTTTATTTAACAAAAAAAAACATAAATAGTTAGAAAAATATGTTTAATTGATTATTCTGGAGCATATTCACCGCCTACATCAATAACTGATTGCCATTTGCTTGGAAGACGATCGATTCCACGAGCGAAGAATAAACGATCTTTGGAGGCAATCCACGCTTTAACATCGTCTATCAAGTCATCCAAATCGTTGTAGATCTTATTTGTTTGCCAATTTTTGAGCGATCGATTGACGTGGTAGTCCGTTGGGGCTTCTCCAGTTCTTTGAGATCGCGAAACGACTCTGCGGCAGACCATCCCTTTTCGAAGTGGTAGAGCATGATATGGCGAAGATGGATATGATTGTCGATACGCATTTTGTTCACTAAAGAATAACGAATATTTAAAAAAAAGAAATAGACAAAAAGCTTTCAAAACAAAAAAGATACAAGCACGCAAAAAGAAGTCCGGATAATTATGCATCAACCCAATAGTTAATCAAAAAAAATGGTTTTAATGACTTGAAAAGGTTGAAAAACAGGTGAAAAATGTGGTTTGTGGTTGAATAAATCTAAGAAAAATGATTAGAAATGTTTCTAATATTTGAAAAATTATTTACAATCAATTTCTGAATTTTTTTTTGACTTTTAAGTTTTAATTCACTTTTTTTTGGTTTAAAAATGACCAATTTTAGCTTTTTTTTTGTCAATTTTTGTCAATTTCATGAAAATGACTTTAGAATTCTTCTAGATATAAAGAATTTAGAGAAAAATCAATAAATTTGATGTTATATACGGGAGAAGAGGCTCTTGTTCTATCCGGCATTTACAATGTGACCGCGATTGCTGAGAATTATGTTTATTTTCGAATTTGGCATTTCTTATTCATTGTGGAGATCGTTGGAATCGTTCACGCTTTGACTTTTCAACCGGTTCGTTTAATCGTTTAATATTTCTCCCATTTTATTGGGTTGTCCAGTTATGGACAACCCAATCGTCCAGTCCAGTCCAGTCCAGTTTACTATTTTGTAAATTTCTCAAGATATCGAACAGATTTATATCAGTGTTATATAGCATTCGAAAGCTGAAGATCTCCTCTATATTTTGATATAAAAAGCTTTTGAATTTGGCCAGCTTTTGGGCAAATTGTCTGCACAGAAGAAGAGATGGCCAAAAAATGGAAGGGTACCTTTGGATCAAGTTTTGGATTCGCTCAAATTGAGTTAACCGTTTGATGTTTGGCCAATAGATATATCAATACAACTTTTTTAAAAATACAACAATTTCAGAGCATCTTTACTTTTCTTTTCTTTTCTGGGCGGTTATTTTACACCATAAAACTTGAGGAAGAGCCAAGCTGAAATGGGTTTTTTTTTTCGAAAACCACCTCTCCCTTTGTGCAGTCAATTTGCCCAAAAGCTGAACAAATTCAAAAACGTTTTTATTCCAAAATGTAGAGGAGATCTTTAGCTTTCGAATGATATATAACACTCATATAAATCTCTTCGATATCTTGGCCAAACATCAAACGGTTAACCCAATTTGAGCGGAGCCAAAACTTGATCCAAAGGCACCCTTCCATTTTTTGGCCACCTCTTCTTCTGTACAGTCAATTTGCCCAAAAGCTGAACAAATTCAAAAGCTTTTTATATCAAAATGTAGAGGAGATCTTCAGCTTTCGAATGATATATAACACTTCTATAAATCTCTTCGATATCTTGAGAAATTTACAAAATAGTAAAAACGTAAAAACAAAATAGTAAAGACAGAAGAAGAAGACTGCACAGAAGAAGAGGTGGCCAAGTTTGCGCAACTGGATCATTTGCGCAACTAGGTCTTTTGCGCAACTCGCCATTCAATTTTAAATCCTGGAAGGCACTCTAGCTTTTTGTGAAGAAAAAAATGGAAGGGTGCCTTTGGATCAAGTTTTGGCTTTCTCTTATTCTCTTCTTCTTTTTCAGCTTTTCTTGTCAAAACTTTGTCGTTTTCCAAGAGATCATCGTGTCCTTTCAGAAAGAAAACAAAAAAGATCTCAAAATCTAAAGATTCTAAAGAAAAGTGTTAATTTCAAAGAAAACTTTAAAACTTTAAGCTTATCTAAACTAAACTAGTTTTTTCGCAAACGACCTCTCCCTTTGTGCAGACAATTTGCCCCAAAAGCTGAACAAATTCAAAAGCTTTTTATATCAAAATGTAGAGGAGATCTTCAGCTTTCGAATGATATATAACACTCATATAAATCTGTTCGATATCTTGAGAAATTTACAAAATAGTAACTGGACAACCCAATAGCTTCGTCTTCGCTTTGCCTCGCCTAGCTTAAATTAAATAAATTAACTATAGCCTTGAATAACTTTGTACAATGCGGTGTATGCCTGGATTGCTTTAAAAAAATCTTTGAGACTTTTAATGCATTTTAGAGTACGTTTAAAATTCACTTGAACCTTGTGAATAGTTGAATGGTTTAGCTGGTTCACTTGTTCACTTGTTCACTTGTTTTATGGTTAAAATAGTCTTCACTTGTTAAATTAGTGCTATTATTTGAAGACTAAAAGCTATTTAACACTTCTATAAATCTGTTCGATATCTTGAGAAATTTACAGAATAGTAAAAAACGAGCATTCATAACTGGACAACTCAATAGAATGGGAGAAATTGGAGAAAATGGAGAAATAAGAGAAATAACAGAAATAACAGAAATAACAGCTTTTGTTTTCTTTTGTTCAGCAGTTCCAGTTCAGCAGTTCAGCAGTTCAACAGATTCAGTCCAAAATTCGATTACTAAACTTATAAAGTTGATTTGCTAAGAGATTAGTTGAGAGGAAATTCTCAGATATTCGTTTACGTTGTTTACACGACAGCCGCTTTTCATAAAAATCTCCGCCACTCACTGGGCATCGTTCTATCCGGATGGATTTTATCCGAGATTTTGAGAATCTTGCAAATTTTCTATCAATCAATGATGATTCCGATTACAGGTAACTTGCTGGTAATATTGCTTTAAGAACATCGAAATCTCTAGCCTAAGTACAGTCGAACCGCTCTATAACGTAACTCACGGGACGGCTATAGCTTACGTTATATAGAGTGCCGTTTTATATAGCTTAACGTCGGCCGGGACCGGTCCCGCCTTACGTTATAGAGAGGTTTACGTTATATCGAGGTTCGTTATAGAGAGGTTCGACTGTATAATGAAATTAGATGAAAAATGAAATCATTAGATGCGCCAGGTCATTTGCCTCTTTTGCCCATGGCAATCCAACTTTGAACTCAATCCAACTTTGGGCTCAAATATCTCGGTGTTGGGCTGTCCAATTTCAATATTCTTGGTATCATTAGATGCGCCAAGTCTTTCTCTATCGATTGGTAGGAAAACTATTGAAATTGGACAGCCGAACACCGAGAAATTGGAGCTTAAAGTTGGGGCGGAGCGCGTCTAAAAGCTCCGTCGCTCCGCCCCTTTCCCATTGACAATCTAACTTTAAGCTCAAATTTCTTGATGTTGGGCTATCCAAACTCAATAGTTTTCCTACCAATCGATAGAGAAAGACCTGGGGCATCTAATGATACCAAGAATATTGAAATTGGACAGCCCAACACCGAGATATTTGAGTTCAAAGTTGGATTGCCATGGGCAAAAGAGGCAAATGATTCAAATGTCCCACAATCTAATAGAAGAAGCAGTTTAAAGTCATATTTCTAAACAAGCTCAACTCAAGGACTTTGACCAGTCCTTGAGAATCATTTGCCTCTTTTGCCCATGGCAATCCAACTTTGAACTCAATCCAACTTTGAACTCAAATATCTCGGTGTTGGGCTGTCCAATTTCAATATTCTTGGTATCATTAGATGCCCCAGGTCTCTCTCTATCGATTGATAGGAAAACTATTGAGTTTGGATAGCCGAACATCAAGAAATTTGAACTTAAAGTTAGATTGCCAATGGGAAAAGGGGCGGAGCGACGGAGCTTTTATACGCGCTCCGCCCCTTTGCCATTTGGGAACTTTAAGCTCCAATTTCTTGGTGTTGGGCTATCCAATTTCAATAGTTTTCCTATCAATCGATAGAGAAAGTTTTGGTGCATCTAATAATACCAAGAATATTGAAACTGAACAGCTCAACACCGAGAAATTCGAGGTTAAAGCTAGGGAAGTTTTTGGTTATCCTTTGTTGCCAAAATCCTTTGTTTTTATACCAAAAACAGTAGCCAATCAAACCAAAAACAGTAGCCAATCAAACCAAAAACAGTAGCCAATCAGTATTGTATAATAACTCAAGTTTCTAAAGCAGCTTTTTTTTAAAGCAAACAAAATCAATCATCAACATTCTCAGGAAATTACCTTCTCGATTTCCCTTTACTTTTCGCTTCAATTTTCCGACACTTCATTTATTTTTGTGGTGTAAGTCTTTTATTCGCGAAAGTTGCGGAGAGAGCGATGGCCACGTATTTCTTCGGTAAAGAGCTTCATAAAGCACTTTATAAACCTCATCTTTTAATAAAAACTTTAGCTGATTACGAGAAAAAGCGTCGTCTTTGGATTGACATTCTTTTGCACTTCTTTTTGGCAATTTTTGGCGAGATTTTTGCTTATTTCTATACGTTTCGTAAGAATTATTAGAAAGTTCGATTTTTTCGAGATTTTAGTCGGAGTTTACATATCGAAGAAGATCTTTTGCGTACTGCTCGGCTTGATCTTGATCTGTGCCTTGTTGACAGTTGTGGTTTGTTTTCTTATACTCATCAATATTTCTAGATTAATTGTGTCTAGGTTCATCACTATTTGTACACCTGGAATCGCCGAAAACTTCGCTCACTGATCAATCAACCTCGACTTTATTCGCTGAGTGTTCGCTTTCAGTTAGAGGAGAATTGTCGAGCGTTGAAAGTGAGAGTTTTAATAGAAATATTAGATCAGAAGGAAATCTTGGTCTACCTCAGCTTTCAAGAAGTGGCTAGAGCCATCTAGAGCCAGCTAGAGTCAGCTAGAGTCAGTTAGAGGCAGCTAAAGCCAGCTAGAGCCAGCTAAAGCCAGCTAGAGAAGCTAGAGCCGATGCTTGAGCCAGTTAGAGCCAGCTAGAGCCGCATAGGTCTAATTGTGAGCTTAGGTTCTAGCCAAGCTTTGGCCTGGACTGGCCTAGCCTGGCTTACAGCCTTGTCTTGCAGCCTGGTCCTGGCCTGATTTCTGAGTCTTGAACAGGCTCAGGCTACCTACCAGCCTACCAGGCTATCAACATATCCTCCTGATTTACTTGGTACTAGCCTATCCGTTACTAGATTACTAGTTGTTCATTGGTACAGTTCAGTGCGCTACTACTGGTTTGGACCTAGGCCAGTCCGGGACTTGGCCTCTGGTTAAACTCTCACTGGCTTAGGCCTGGTCTGGGCTTGTAAACATAGCCTGGTCTTGTTTTCTGATGGACCTGTTTTCTGATGGACTTTGAGAACGCCGGACTCTAGTCTGGCCTGGCCTGACTTGGCCCACAAAAGTTAAATTCTTTGAAGGAGTTCAAGCCTACAAGGAGTTCATGGAGCTAGAAGCTGATCCTAGCCTTGCTTGACTTAAGCCAAAACTGCGATTACATTATATTCAAAGCTTAATTCAGCTAATCAGACCAGGCGTTCTATCGCACAGTGTAGTGATCGCCGTATTTGGCCTCTTCCTCGGCGCTCCACTCCTCGTTTTTCCGCACGGAACGCCGACTGGCGAATTCATTCTTGCAATCACTGAAGCAATGGGAAGTTTGTGAGTGTAAAGAATTGAAAAAAAAAGATGCAATCGATGCAATGAAGCTTTCGAAGTGGCAAAGTCAAAGCCAAATTCGAAGCCAAATTCAAAGCCAGAGTTCATAGCCAAAGTTCAAAGCCAAAGTTCAAAACCAAATTCGAAACCAAATTCATAAGCTAGAGTTCAAAGCTATAGTTGAAAGCTAGAGTTCAAACCCAAAGTTCAAAGCCAAAGTTCAAGCCCAAATTCAAAGCCAAATTCATAGCCAAATTCATAGCCAAATTCATAGCCAAATTCATAGCCAAATTCATAGCCAAATTCATAGCCAAATTCAAAGCCAAAGTTCAAAGCCAAAGGTTCAGACACGTCATCGCCATGCAACAAGTGATCCTCAAAACAGTGCCCATGTACAACAATACGTACAAGGTTTTATAAAGAAAAAAAAAGAAGCTTTACAATCTGAAATCTTTCAGGAAATCATCAGAAACATTTTTATGAAAGTTTTTCGGATTAGCTTCGAAAGAATTCACATTGAATTCTCTATTCATTCGATTCATTCACAGAGGAGAAAGGTTTAGTGTTGGAAAACTTGTAAAAAAACAAAAAGTTTCTCTTTAGATTCACCCAAATCACGATACTGTACTCTATTTTCAACAATTAAGAGCACAATGGGATTAAAAGAATTGAGTACTTGTCGGTTATAGAAGTACGATGTTCAACAACGCTCGATTCTCTTATGAGAAGCGGTTTTCCATCCCATGACAACACTGAAATCAATTTCCAGAATATTCGACTTTATTTGTAATAAACCTACAGTACTGGACAATGAAATATCATATTTGAAAAACGATCGTCGCAAAAACTTTCGCGCGTCTGTAACTCTCTTGTCTTTGAGTTTGTCTTTGAGTTTAAACTATTATGTCATACATTTACTGAAAGCTCTTTTCAAGGGCTACACAATGGTAATATTAATATTTAGAAATACGGTAAAGACAAGGGAGTTACCGAACATAATCGCCCCTCACAAGTTGTCAGCTTCTTTCTTAATCTCTCTGGCTCTGTTTGGAAAGATATTCAATTATTAGAGTCCTTTTTTCATAAAGAATAGAGAAAATAAAGAAATTTCTCTTAAGAATAAAGAGATAAGACGAGAAAGTTGGCATGCTTTAGAAAACGGATTTGTGGAGTTGTTCCAATACGGTTCCAATACGGTTCTTTTTAGATCCAAAAGGGTTCCAATACGGTTCCAATACGGTTCCAACACGGTTCTTTTTAGATCCAATGCGGTTCTTTTTAGATCCAAAACGGTTCCAATACGGTTCTTTTTAGATCCAAAAGGGTTCCAATACGGTTCCAATACGGTTCCAACACGGTTCTTTTTAGATCTAATACGGTTCCAATACGGTTCTTTTTAGATCCAATGCGGTTCCAACACGGTTCTTTTTAGATCCAAAACGGTTCCAATACGGTTCTTTTAGATCCAAAACGGTCCAATACGGTTCTTTTAGTCCAACGGTTCCAATACGGTTCCAATACGGTTCCAACACGGTTCTTTTTAGATCCAATACGGTTCCAACACGGTTCCAATACGGTTCTTTTTAGTTCCAATACGCTTCCAATACGGTTCCAATACGGTTCCAACACGGTTCCAATACGGTTCTTTTTAGATCCAATACGGTTCCAATACGGTTCCAATACGGTTCTTTTTAGATCCAAAACGGTTCCAATACGGTTCTTTTTAGATCCAAAACGGTTCCAATACGGTTCTTTTTAGATCCAAAACGGTTCCAATACGGTTCTTTTTAGATCCAAAACGGTTCCAATACGGTTCTTTTTAGATCCAAAACGGTTCCAATACGGTTCCAACACGGTTCTTTTTAGATCCAATACGGTTCTTTTTAGATCCAAAACGGTTCCAATACGGTTCCAACACGGTTCCAATACGGCTCCAATACGGTTCCAATACGGTTCTTTTTAGGTCCAATACGGTTCCAATACGCTTCCAATACGGTTCCAACACGGTTCCAATACGGTTCTTTTTAGATCCAATAGGGAAACAAATTCAATTTATTATTAAATTTCAAATAAGTTTAACAATACGATCAATAAAGTCAATCAAGTTTTTGGGCGTTTTTTTGGCCTTTTACATCAATTTCTTTTCATTTCAACATCAAATTTCATTATTTATTCTTCATTCCTTTTCTCCAATCGACAAAAGAAAGGTTTTGGTGAAAGAACAGTGGCAAAATCGGGCTTCAAATCGGGTTTTTCTCCAGAAACACAAATTTTATATCTAAAAATCGATAAATTATGAAAGAAAAGATTCAAAAACTTTTGAATAAGATTGGCAAATATCAAGAAAAGTTGCATTTTCGCTAAGCCCTCGGCAGCGCACGAGCGTTTCCCAATGCCGAAGACGATGTTTTTGTTCAAAAGATTCTAAATCGAGATAGATTTGAGAATTGAAGTTATAAATATAAATGAATACTGTAATAGTACCCCACCGCCCGCCCCGTACAGTCGCGTAGTCGCAAAAGTTTTTTAGTTTTTCATTTTTCTTCAAAGCGCCCGTACTTTTAAAAAATGCGTCTTTGGTTTCGAGTTTTTCTCGACACTGGTTTATGCTACAATGCTCGCTTTGGTATCAAAAAAAAAAGCCCTGAATTTCAGCTATTTTTTGATACTCAAGCGAGCATTGTAGCATAAATCAGTGTCGAGAAACACTCGTTCAAAGCTAGACTACACAACACACCGCACCGTCATTATAGGCGATGGGGTACTATTACAGTCCACTGTATTTGATTGCATTAACGGTCGTCTTGCTATCCAGCAACTCCCAGTACAAGTGTGTGAGACAAGTGTGAGAGTCAAAAATGGAGGACTGGAGATGTCCCCGCACAGTCGCGTAGTCGCAAAAGTTTTTTTTGGTATTTCATTGTTTTTCAAAGCACCCATACTTCCAAAAAATACGTCTTTGGTATCAAAAAAAAGCCCTGAATTTCAGCTATTTTTTGATACCTTTTAGCGCATTCTAGCATAAACCAGTGTCGAGAAAAACTCGTTCAAAGCTAGACAACGCAACACACCGCACCGTCATTATAGGCGGTGGGGTACTATTACAGTATTTACGGTATGCATGTTTCCTTAAGCTTGCTTTGAATGTAAGTGAATTTAGGTTTTAAATCTTTTTCAACCTTTACCTTATTCAATTCACCACGGCTTGTTATAAAACGCTCGGGTCGAAAGGCAAATGGATCCTGAAATTGAAAAAAAAACGTAAAACTTCCACTTTTTAACTTTTCAGTGAAACTTTTTAGATAACTATAAATGAAAAGAAACTTTTCTGCACTTGTTTTTTCTGGGATCTGAGATTGCCAACGATCTGGGATCGAGACATCAACGGATGGCTCAAATAAGCATGTTAAAAGAGTTTTTATCAAATATCTGTCTTTTTCTAGTGAGGTGGAGGCTTTCGCTCTTGATGCAAGGTAATGATTGATTGTTAATGGTTGTTAATGATCGCTATTGATTGCCATTGATTCCTAATGATTGCTAATGATTCCTAATGATCGCTATTGATTGCCATTGATTGCTAATGATTGCTATTGCTTGCAAATGATTGTTAATGATTGCAAATGATTGCTGTTGCTTGCAAATGATTGCAAATGATTGCCATTATTTGCTAATGATTGCTCTTGCTTGCAAATGATTACTATTGATTGCTATTGCTTGCAAATGATTCCTAATGATTGCTAACAATCGCTAATGATTGCTATTGTTTGCTATTGCTTGCTATTGATTGCTATTGCTTGCTATTGATTGCTAATAATTGGTTAAAGTACCGTAAGAAAGCGAGTACCTTTAGAAAGTGTTAGTTTCATTTCTATCATTTGAATTAATTTCATTCTACCTCGAAAATCTCCTGACTTCTCAAAACACTCCAAATCTGGGCCATCACTGTCGTTTCCTTTGGGATTCGTTGACCAAAAAGTTGAGTTTCTTCAGTGCCTAAAAGCTTGATATTTACAGTAATCAATTGTGACTTACAGACGTGAAAATTCAGAAATGGATTCATATTGCAGTGACGTTGAATCTAAGAGGTTTAGATTTATTGTTTATGCTAAGCTCACCTCATTTAAAACCGCTTGCGTGTACGGTAATCGATTTCGATCGACAAAACTCAGCTTTCTAATGGGAAACAATGAGTTTATCTCGTCAAATGCTTTTCTCTAAAGAATTTTGATATTAATAGAATTGATAGAATTGATAGAATTGATAGAATTGATAAAGAATTATTTGAAACTTCTGTCAGCCGCGTCAGCCAAGTTACGAATACTTTGGCATAAGCAAAAATGATCTATATTAAGGACTAGATCTGGATTAAGGACTAGATCTGGATCAAGGTCTAGATCTGGATCCAGGCCTAGATCTGGATTAAGGACTAGATCTGGATCAAGGTCTAGATCTGGATCAAGGACTAGATCTGGATTAAGGACTAGATCTGGATTCAGGACTAGATCTAGATTAAGGACTAGATCTAGATTAAGGACTAGATCTGGATTAAGGACTAGATCTGGATTCGGGACTAGATCTAGATTAAGGACTAGATCTAGATTAAGGACTAGATCTAGATTAAGGACTAGATCTAGATTAAGGTCTAGATCTGGATTAAGGTCTAGATCTGGATTAAGATCAAGGTTTAAAGGTTTAAAAATCATTTTTGATTGATGATTGTAAAATCTTTGATCCATGTGGCCATTTGCAATGATTCATTAAGGTAAAAAAGAATCGAATTTTCGATTGTTGAACAATTCAATCCAGTTTCCAAGATCAAACCCAGGGAAACTGGAGTTGGAGTTGGTTGATCATAAACTAACCAATAGCTAGTCAAATACCCAAGTCAAAGCACGTATTCCCCACTTGTACATCGGGATAATGTATCATGTAGGCAAGAATCCATCGTAGACACGTCGCCGTCGACTCCATCCCGCCTAGCCACAAATCATTGCAAATGGCCACAAGATTCTCGAGGCTGAACGAGAGTTTTGGCTGGCAATTGTATAACAATTTTTGCTGGCAATTGTATAATAATTTGGCTCTTTAATAGCTATTGCTATCGACTCTAAAATCGGTTTTTAGTTTACTTTATACGGTAAAGCTTAGGTCTAATAGTAAAGCAGCATTTAAAGCATCAGCTCTCAGCAGCATTTCAAAAAGTGATCCCTGGAAAAGCTACCATATTCTAACTAACTCACCAACTTACTTTATAACGATTTAAAATTGATTTAAAAGGTTTAAAATTGATTTAAAAGGTTTAAAATTGATTTAAAAGGTTTAAAATTGATTTAAAAGTCTTATATCGCTGGTTTAAAAGTCTTATATCATTTGAGACAAATAATAAAAGAGTTGTAAGGCTTAGGCTGTAAGGCTTAGGCTTAGGCTAGGCTTAGGCTTAGGCTTAGGCTTAGGCTTAGGCTTAGGCTTAGGCTGTAAGGCTTAGGCTGTAAGGCTTAGGCTGTAAGGCTTAGGCTGTAAGGCTTAGGCTGGAAGGCTTGGGCTGTAAGGCTTAGGCTGTAAGGCTTAGGCTGTTAGGCTTAAGGCTTAGGCTGTAAGGCTTAGGCTGTAAGGCTTAGGCTGTAAGGCTTAGGCTGTAAGGCTTAATGTATTCCATTTTGAGTAGAAATCGTCAAAAGTCGAAATTTCAATTGAAAACTCACTCCAATTTCTCATTTACTTCTTTCATTTCCTTTAGATAGGCGTGCACGAGATTTGTTGGCTCGGAAGTCTCCAAAAAGCTTGAAATCAACGAAAACACTTGGCGTTCGATAAAAGAAATATACTAGACCCTTCAAAATTAGTATTCTTTCAAAAAAAAAACAAACTTTATCTATGTTCTGTTTATGTAAAGTGTATCCAAAATATCCGATCAATGGAATGTTGACAGCCCATGGGAAAGATTGACAAAGAAGGGTGCACGGATTCGACTGAAAGGTTTTTAAAATCAAATAAGATTGGCTAAAGTAATCGTAATCTTATTTTATCGAAAATTTCGAAAAACAAACATACCGTAATCTTTTTGAGATGCGTTTTGAGGATTGCGATAAAATGAAAGAGCTCTGATGCGTTCTCATTTGTATATTGAAAGCCGAAAAGCAAATCGTTGATCACATTTCCGACACATAGCTGAAAAAGTTGCAGAACTATAAAGTTAGATATGAATTCGATCGACTTCAGACGACTTTCAGACTTCTTTTCCTAACTTGAAACAGATTCAAAATAGATTCAACCTTCACCTTTAACCGTAACTTTTAAACCATCAAATAAAAATCTATCAAATAAACCTTGACATAAACAACTTTGAGATAAACAAAAGAAACGTTTAAGATTCCGATAACTAGGCAATGTTTAGTTTTTATAGGATAGAACATTACTAATTTACAATCAGATCTTAATTTTTCTTCCTATTAGAGTGGTGAATGATTGTTGAAAATTGTAAATTAGTAATGTAAATTAGTAATTCTATCCTATAAAAACTAAACATTGCCTAGTTATCGGAAACTTAAACGTTTCTTTTGTTTATCTCAAAGTTGTTTATCTCAAATCCCAACTTGTAGCGATTTCTCGAGATCGATTTGCTCCAAACTTTCCCCATTCAACTCTAACAGCATTTTGTCAATAGATTTTTGAATCTAAATTCGCTTATATAGATTCAACTTATATAGAAACTCATATAGAAAGTTTAGTCAACTTTTCAACTCTAGTTTTCAACTCTAGCTGGAACTCTAGCTTTTAACTCTAACTTTTAACTATTGCTTTGAACTATAGCTTTGAACTATAGCTTTTAACTATAGCTTTCAACTATAGCTTTGAACTCTAGCGTTCAACTCTAGCTTTTTAACTATAGCTTTTAACTATAGCCTTCAACTATAACCTTCAACCCTAGCTTTCAACTATAGCTTTCAACCCTAGCTTTGAACTATAGCTTTTGAACCATAGCTTTGAACTCTAGCTGGAACTATAGCTTTGAACTATAGCTTTGAACTATAGCTTTGAACTATAGCCTTCAACTATAGCTTTCAACCCTAGCTTTCAACCCTAGCTTTCAACTATAGCTTTTAACTATAGCTTTCAACTATAGCTTTGAACTCTAGCGTTCAACTCTAGCTTTTAACTATAGCTTTTAACTATAGCCTTCAACTATAACCTTCAACCCTAGCTTTCAACTATAGCTTTCTATTGAAAACCATAAGTTACTATAATGCAAGAAATCAATTACCTTTTCCTCCATTAAACTCGCGCCAACACCGAATCGCTTAAAGATTTTCAGTGTTGCATTTCTCTGTGTTTTCCACGTTTCCCCATCCGAAATGATGATTCCCGTGTTTGGGTTTCTTTGAAGTAAAATTTCCGGAATTCGATGCGTTCGACCCGAGAAAAGCTGACCTAAAATGGCTTCCGATTTTGCAAGGGATTTGCTCTTCTGCTTCTACTTCTGCCCTAGACAGATGCGATCATTTTTGTGCTTTTTAAACCCTTCAGAAAACGGAAATTTTGTATTCTTTATGTTCATTTCACATTATACAGGTTGCGATATAATTATCGCAACAAGTTAAACAGTTAAACAACAACAAGTTCTGATTTTAAAGCAGACAAGAGCAAACAAATTTTTAAATGAATTGCATTTATTGTAAATTAGCAATTATAAATGAAAGTATCAAATTCGAATCGACCACAATTAGCATTTAAGCATGCTCGCAGGCGTTTCGGAAAGGCATCAACGGTGGCGATCAAATAGGCTGCATCGAGTTCTTTTCCACGCTTTTAGCAGTGATTTCTTCAAGCTTTCGATGTTTTGCGTCACCATCTTCTTTGCCATTTGCCGACTGGTTTGGCTTCTTCCGAATTTGATCCTTCACTCGGTTGATGTTTGTCTTTGTGACGACAGTTGGGCGTCTATCGCTTCTTGGTGCATCAGCGATTGTTCTTCTACTTCTAGATGGATCAGCAATTGTTCGTCTACTTCTAGGTGCATCGGCAATCGTTCTTCTACTTCTAGATGCATCAGCAATCGTTTTTCTACTTTTAGGTGCACCAGCAATCGTTCTTCTACTTCTAGATGGATCAGCAATTGTTCTTCTACTTCTAGGTGCATCGGCAATCGTTCTTCTACTTCTAGATGCATCGGCAATCGTTCTTCTACTTCTAGATGCATCGGCAATCGTTCTTCTACTTCTAGATGCATCGGCAATCGTTCTTCTACTTCTAGATGCATCAGCAATTGTTCTTCTACTTCTAGGTGCATCGGCAATCGTTCTTCTACTTCTAGATGCATCGGCAATCGTTCTTCTACTTCTAGATGCATCGGCAATCGTTCTTCTACTTCTAGATGCATCAGCAATCGTTCTTCTACTTCTAGGTGCACCAGCAATTGTTCTTCTACTTCTAGGTGCATCGGCAATCGTTCTTCTACTTCTAGATGCATCAGCAATCGTTCTTCTACTTCTAGGTGCACCAGCAATCGTTCTTCTACTTCTAGGTGCATCAGCAATCGTTCTTCTACTTCTAGATGCATCAGCAATCGTTCTTCTACTTCTAGGTGCACCAGCAATCGTTCTTCTACTTCTAGGTGCATCGGCAATCGTTCTTCTACTTCTAGATGCATCAGCAATCGTTCTTCTACTTCTAGGTGCATCAGCAATTGTTCTCGTAGCTTCGTAGCGTTGAATAGTGCGGAAAATGACACTTCTATCAACTTTAAGACGCTTCTGAATTTCCATCGCCGAGACTCCTCGCTTGTGCAATTCGATGATCGATTGTCGATGGGGATTTTCCAGCCATTCTAAAAAACAACACATTTCATATGAAAAAAGTTTCAATTATATCCCAAATATAATAAAAACACAAAAAAAAAAAACCGAGAAATGAAGCTTAAATCAACAAGTGATTGTCCTTGAACACGCGTGATACGTGATTGTTGCGACAATTATGGCGCACCCTGTAGTGTGTCAACTTAGAAAATCCGAGTTGTACCCGTTCAAAATGCTACTAGTTTATGCAGATTTGTTCAATCTCTATCATTTTTGCACAAAAATATTCACAAGATCGATGGAAACGAAACTTTGCTTTGTTTTGACTTTTTCTTTAGGAATTTCTAGCACTAGCGATAGTGCTATTTTAAAGCGGGATCTTCATCTTTTTACGTCAATTGGCACTATCACCGTTAAAAACCTATAGAAATCACTTTTTTTTGCGATTTGCGGATTTGCGCGGAACGGATTTCAAAAAGGAAAGCTCCTTATATCAAAGGGGTTTGCCAGATGGGGAGCGATTACCCGGCCGCAGAAAGAACACCGCTTAACTCTTTTACATAGGAATTTTTCCTTTTGCTTTGTATTGGGTTGGGGACTATGACTCGGCGCCGAAAATCAAAAAAATGTCTAAAACTTCTATTCGACTTCGTCAAATAATATGCGTTTGATATGAGTAGAATGGTTAACGAATTCTCTACAAAATCACATTTAAAAGAAAATTCAAACAGCGCCTCCGCTCAAGAAAAAGCCATTTTTTCACAAAAACTACAAACTGTGATCTAGAAAAAACCATTGGTGGGATCTTCCTGCAAATTTGGCAACTTAAGTAATTGAATGTGCTCTATCTTTTTTATATAAACACCAAAGAAGGTTTATGTGAAAGAAACTGTTCAAATGATGAGTCGGACTCTTTGCCATTTTGACTAGCTGTGTTTGGGAGTCCATAAACTCCACGAAAGAAAAGCTTTGTGGAATCTCTCAAAAGTGATTTTGTAGAGAAATAGTGGATCCTTTTGATGAAACCAAACGTATGTTTAAAGAAGGCTTTATGTGTGCAAAAAGTCCCTTTAAAGTTTGGCGCCGAGTCATAGTCCCCAACCCAATAGATCATACAAAAAAAGAAGCAATTGAGCTGGAAATTTGCGACCAGGGGTTTTCGAGGACGGCGAATCGATTGACGGGGTTTATTTTATCGAATCCACTCATCCGAGCCCTCAATTTTCCATCTCAAACATCTCAAACATTTAGCACTCTAGCACTAGCAATTTAAAGCGCGATTTTCATCTTTTTACGTCGATTGGCACTACCTATAGAGCTACCGATTGGCAGTACCGTTAAAAACCTATAGAGCCCTCAATTTTCCATCTCAAATAGCACATCACACTTTTTTTTCGCCAAAATCACCAACATCACCAACATCACCAACCTTGTGTTTGCAGTGCCTCTTTAATATACTCGAAATCGGTCAAGATCACTGTTGGAGCTGGTAGAAACAATGTGAAACAATTACCATATTTTAATCCAACTTTATCCAAATATTGATGGAAATCGATCGGATTAATCTAATGATGAAATAATTTATTTAACAATCCTTCAATTTATTTAATAATCCCTCCAATTTATTTAACAATCTTTCAATTTATTTAATAATCTTTCAATTTATTTAATAATCCTTCAATTTATTTAATAATCCTTTCAATTTATTTAATAATCCCTCCAATTTATTTAACAATCCTTCAATTTATTTAATAATCCTTCAATTTATTTCTTAAATTCTTTCAAACTCACATGATAAATATTTCCAATAAACGGTAATGGTAGAGGTCCTTTTGGATAACGTTTTCGGTAAATCAAATAATAATACAAGACATAGAAAAGCCAGAGGATTAAGAGAATGACGAAAATTATCATTGAAATTTGGAAAATCTCGAGAAAAGTCGTGAATCGATCGAGAAAATTTGAGAAAAGAGCCGCATTTTCGCACACTAATCCATCATTTTCCCAATCATTTTCCCAAAAACAACAAAGGTGCAAAGTTTGCTGGATTTCTTGTGCTTTGAGGTGATAAGTCTCCAAGAAAAGTTCTTTTTCTGATTTCTGCAGGAATAGGCTTTGAATTCTAGCGAATTCTAGAATTCTAGCGAATTCTAGAATTCTAGCGAATCTTGAAAAATCATTGTTCAATTGGTGCATTTGTTTGTTTTAAACAAAAGTATGAAAAGGAACGAGAAAGGAACGAAAAAGACCTTTCTGGACAGCTCTAATATTCTAGAAAAGTCTAACACAATATCCAAAGCTATAGCCTTCCGTAATCCCAAAAAAATATAGTACTTAAGGCATAGAGTATAGCAAAGTCTATAAATGTAAACCCTACAGTATGTCTAAAAGTACGCAAACGTTATTAAAGTTCTTGGTTATCCTTGGTCTTTTACCAAAATTGATGCATTTGTTTGTTTTAAACAAAAGTACAAAAAGGAACGAGAAAGGAAGGAAAAGGACCTTCCTGGACAGCTCTAATATTCTAGAAAAGCCTAATACAATAGCCAAATACAATATTCTTTAAAACTTTAGCTATATACCAAACGTTTTATGCTCTATCTTTTATCTATTGATTGATATCTATTGATTTTATAAAAGGACAGCTCTAATACCTTTCTGGACAGCTCTAATACCTTCTGGACAGCTCTAATACTTTCTGGACAGCTCTAATACCTTCTGGACAGCTCTAATACTTTCTGGACAGCTCTAATACCTTCTGGACAGCTCTACTACCTTCTGGACAGCTCTAATGCCTTCTGGACAGCTTTAATACCTTCTGGACAGCTCTAATACCTTCTGGACAGCTCTAATACCTTCTGGACAGCTTTAATACCTTTCTGGACAGCTCTAATACCTTTCTGGACAGCTCTACTACCTTCTGGACAGCTCTAATACCTTTCTGGACAGCTCTAATACCTTTCTGGACAGCTCTACTACCTTCTGGACAGCTCTAATACCTTTCTGGACAGCTCTAATACCTTTCTGGACAGCTCTACTACCTTCTGGACAGCTCTAATACCTTTCTGGACAGCTCTAATACCTTTCTGGACAGCTCTACTACCTTCTGGACAGCTCTAATACCTTCTGGACAGCTCTAATACCTTCTGGACAGCTTTAATACCTTCTGGACATGGTATTCCATTAAACTCAATTTTTCCATAAACCGGCCAGGTAAAAAGTGTAAACTTCCAAGATTTTTCCTCAAATTCTCTCAATTTTGCCTCAATTTTGCACGACGTTTTTCCCAGTTCCCAATGCACAAATCGAGAAGTGAGTTGAGTCTATCGAGAAAGAGGGATCAACGCTCGCGAAGTGACGATTAATTTCATGGAATGAACGGGGGGAAACGGGAACGTTCTTTCCATTTTCCGATTGCATGAATCGACGGAAACCCGTTCCAATTGGTCACTCATTTGCTTCATTTTTTGGTCTCATTTCTGGCAATTGAGCTTTATGCGAAGTTTCTTCATTTAGCTAGATTTGATAGTTTGCTAGATAGGAAATTATTCTTCACTTGTTCGTTTGCTTTTTGTCTTGCGTGTATTCTTTTAATGGAATTTTGTGTAAATGCAAAGCTTCTTGGCTATTTATTGGGCAAGTTTTTCGTTATTTATTAGGCTATGAAGCAGGCTATATTAGGCTATCTGGCAGGCTATTTCTAGACTATTTAGCAGGCTATTTATTAGGCTATTTATTAGGCTATTTAGCAGGCTATATTAGGCTATTTATTAGACTATTTAGCAGGCTATTTATTAGACTATTTATGAAGCTATATCAGGCTATATTAGACTATTTATCAGGCTATTTATTAGGCTATTTATTAGGCTGTTTAGCAGACTATGTTAGGCTATTTATTAGGTTATATTAAACTACTTATTAAACTACTTATTAAACTATTTATTAGACTATTTATTAGGCTATTTATTAGGCTATATTAGGCTATTTATTAGACTATTTATTAGACTATTCATTAGGCTATTTAGCAAGCTATTTAGCAGGCTGTTTAGAAGACTATTTATTAGGCTATTTATTAAGTTATATCAGGCTATTTATTAGGCTATTTATCAGACTGCTTATTAGACTGTTTAGCAGGCTATCTTAGACTATTTATTAGGCTATATTAGACTACTTATTAAACTATTTATTAAACTATTTATTAGTCTGCTTATTAGTCCACTTATTAGTCTACTTATTAGTCCACTTATTAGTCTACTTATTAGGCTATTTATCAGGCTATATTAGGCTATTTATTAGGCTATATTAGGCTATTTATTAGACATTTTGTAGTTTGCACACTTTCTGGCTTCTGTAGCTTCTAGGTACAGTACTCCAGTTGATACTGTCACCCACAGACTACAGTGCCCCTTGTAGACCTGTGGCATCTATTTTAATATCTATAGTATCCATAACTATAGTATCCATGCCTATAGTATCCAAGAATCCAGTCCACCAGCAAAAGATGCGTTTACGCCTATTGAGCTCAAAGTACTGCAGGAAAACAATTTTGCAAATATTGCTCACTAGCAGAGCTATCAGATCACTAACAGAGCTATCAGATCACTAACAGAGCTATCAGATCACTAACAGAGCTATCAGATCACTAACAGAGCTATCAGATCACTAGCAGAGCTATCAGATCACTAACAGAGCTATCAGATCACTAACAGAGCTATCAGATCACTAACAGAGCTATCAGATCACTAGCAGAGCTATCAGATCACTAACAGAGCTATCAGATCACTAACAGAGCTATCAGATCACTAACAGAGCTATCAGATCACTAACAGAGCTATCAGATCACTAACAGAGCTATCAGATCACTAACAGAGCTATCAGATCACTAACAGAGCTATCAGATCACTAACAGAGCTATCAGATCACTAACAGAGCTATCAGTCCCTTTGCAACAGCCTTTGCAAGCTCGAAACAAATCTGATAGGATCAATAAAATCAAAGTGTTCTAAAAGAGTATAGCTTTTTTTGCGCAAGAAAAGATTCATCTCCAGCGGATCACTCAAGCCTTATTTGTATGGGGGAATGTTTTGAAAAGAAAAGAAGAGATACAAATAATGAAAGAGAAAAGAGAAAGGAGGTCCTCTTCTAGGAGATTCTCGTGTTCATTTTGTGTACACTCATGGGGGTGACCCCCTTGTATTCCTTGCTTTTATGCTTTTCGTTTTCCCCTTTCCTCTTCTAAGATCCCCCCGATTCGATCGGATATCGGTTACATTCACGTAAAGTCGTCGATACAACGGCTACAACGGCTACATTTGGCTCATCTTTGACTATTTCTACTTCACTTAGACTAGATGAAGACTTCGAATAAGAATCTTTGATTTCATTTCATTTATAGCTTTCTTTTCTTTCATTTATAGCTTTCTTTTCTTCCAATTTTCCTTCTTTTATTTACAAATTAAGTCTTTAAAACTTTTTAGCCTATCAAAGCCTATCAATCAAAGCCAAATCAAAGCCAAATCAAAGCCAAATCAAAGCCAAGTCAAAGCCAAGTCAAAACCTATCAATCAAAGCCAAATCAACGCCAAATCAACGCCAAATCAACGCCAAATCAACGCCAAATCAAAGCCAAATCAAAGCCTATCAAAGCCCATCAAAGCCAAATCAAAACCCAAATCAATCACCGGATTCATCTTTCCCTCTTTTTGAGGACTGATGCATGGATGCTCACTTATTTGCTGCTTCTAGGATTTGTTGCTGAGGTGGCAAAAGGAGTGGTCAGTTTTTTGCTTTGTTTCTCTAGAAAATCAAATAAACTTTGATAGAATTTGATTTTGATTTGTTTCGTTTTAAGTTTTTGATAGAATTTCATAAGGAAAAGGTTTAAAAAAAGAGCCAGAATCAATCAAAGGATTCAAATCAATCAAAGGATTTAAATCAATGAAAGGATTTAATAGGTTGATGCATAAGTCTTTTCGTTTTTTTCGTACTTCTGTTAAAAAGTAACAAATTCACGAATTAATCTATAGTTTGCTCTATAAAAAAAGTGTTTTTTTGTTCAATTTGCATCTTTTTAAATGAATTTCGGTTCACTTTCAAGCAAATTCGAGAGTGAAAAGCGCCTTTTTCGTAAAAATCTATAAAAAACTCTACGGAAAAATTGGCTGAATGAATTTCTCTGAAATTTTGGCGAAATATCAAACGTTTTTTTTCTCTATCTTTTATCTATTGACACGAAGATAGGTTTTCTTTAGCTAAGGTGTCTAAACCGCATCATCGAGTTAGCCCTTTTTGACTACCCGACTTGATACTCTCAAGAAAATCCAGGCATTTCTTTAGCTAAGGTGTCTAAACCGCATCATCGAGTTAGCCCTTTTTGACTACCCGACTTGATACTCTCAAGAAAATCCAGGCATCAAATATTTTTAAACCCGTTTTAATGTTATTTTGCAGAAAAATAATTGGTTTTTCTAATGAAATCAACCGTAGTTTAATTCGTGCATTTGTTGGCTTGAAACGGCAGACGAAAAGGAACAAAAACACTTATGCATCAACCTAATAAATCAATCAAAGAATTTAAATCAATGAAAGGATTTAAATCACAAATCACAACTTAAATCGATAGTTTCTCAGCCTACTTTCGTTTTTTTTTAAAAATACTGACTGGGGCTACCAGTGGTGAATTTATCGCATACACGAAATATATCAATCACAATACAACGACACACACAATACTAGGCTATATCTTAACTTAACCCACGTCATGACAGACGGCTCCCTAACCCTAAGCTCAATGGGGAACTAAATAGCTTTTTTGGTGGTGAAGGGAATCGGTAGAAGATTTTCGTTTAAAAATAGACAAGAGTAGACAAGAGTCTTTCCAAAATTCAAATGCTGTTAGCTAATTGCTCTGAACAATTCAAAAAAAAAGGATCAAAATGAAAGATTCAAAAGAGCAATCCACCTCAGCTTTTCCTCCTAAAGGACACCTTTTTCTTCCGAGATTTTTCTCTTATAGATGACTTCAAAAGAAGATCTTGAGCTGTACATTTATAACTTGTAAAGTAACAAAACAAAAGTATTGTCAATAGTGCTCAGAATTGCTCAGGATTGCTCAGTATTGCTCAGTATTGCTCAGTATTGCTCAGAATGCTCAGAATTGCTCGTTTGTTAAAGTTTTATCGTTAAAACTTGATCTAGCTTGGTTTTAAAGTCACAAAAAAGTCACGAAAAAGTCATTTTTTGGCTTGGTTACTGTTTGACAGTTATCTATGTTTGCCTGTGTTGTGTTGTTGAGAATTTGCATGAGCTGAAGAGCAATTCTGAGCAATACTGAGCAATACTGAGCAATACTGAGCAATTCTGAGCATTCTGAGCAATTCTGAGCAATTCTGAGCAATTCTGAGCACTATTGACAATACTTTTGTTTTGTTACTTTACAAGTTATAAATGTACAGCTCAAGACCTTCTTTTGAAGTCATCTATAAGAGAAAAATCTCGGAAGAAAAAGGTGTCCTTTAGGAGGAAAAGCTGAGGTGGATTGCTCTTTTGAATCTTTCATTTTGATCCTTTTTTTTTGAATTGTTCAGAGCAATTAGCTAACAGCATTTGAATTTTGGAAAGACTCTTGTCTACTCTTGTCTATTTTTAAACGAAAAACTTCTACCGATTCTTCTACCGATTCTTCTACCGATTATCTTTCAATCTTCAATCTAGAGAAGTCGATAGAGAAGTCGATTTTTGATTTTTGACCACTTATTCTTTCTAAATCCTTTTTTCTGACCAACTAAGCAAACAAAGTAGATATCTATGTTCGCTTTAGATCTGAAAATTTGTATTTGAATGTATTTGAAAGCATTCTGGGATGGAGAATCCAAATTTAATGATTATTTTTGAGTAATTTTAATTTCCAAGTCAATACCGTCATCATAAAACTCTCGAAAATTTGAATAATTTAATCAAATTAAACCAAATTCACCAAATTCGAGAGAAAACGGCGAAATCGAGTTTGGTTTTTGTGCTTTATCTCTAAAAATCGTTTGCCAAAAGGTGTGCGATTAAGTAAAGAAGAAAATTTTCACGCTTTTTGTTATTGTGCACCCCCTAGCACATAACTCTACTTTTCTATAACCAAATTTAATGAAGAGTCTTTTAAAAGAAACCATAAGTTGATTCAACTTCTATACCTCGAGTTATAGACCATCTATATACAGTTAGATACAAAACAAATTCTACTTTTCTATAGCCAAATTTAATGAGGATTCCATTAAAAGCAACCAAAAGTCCATTCAATTGCTATATCTCGAGTTCTAGACCATCTAAGTTGATCAACTTTTCCAGGTAGCTAGTTCAACTTTGACTCAAATTTTCTCTATCTTTTTATACCTGAGTGTACAAAACAAATTCTACTTTTCTATAACCAAATTTAATGAAGATTCCATTAAAAGCAACCAAAAGTCCATTCAACTGCTATATCTCGAGTTATAGACCATCTAAGTTGATCAACTTTTCCAGGTAGCTAGTTCAACTTTGACTCAAATTTTCTCTATCTTTTTATACCTGAGTGTACAAAACAAATTCTACTTTTCTATAACCAAATTTAATGAGGATTCCATTAAAAGCAACCAAAAGTCCATTCAACTGCTATACCTCGAGTTCTAGACCATCTAAGTTGATCAACTTTTCCAGGTAGCTAGTTCAACTTTGACTCAAATTTTCTCCATGTCCTTACACTAGAGTATACAAAGTAAATTACACTTTTCTATAACCAAATTTAATGAGGATTCTTTTAAGACCAACCTCTGGTTGATCTGATTACTGGGAGTCGAGTTATAGAGTAAAATAGAGAAGTTCCCAAACTCCGAGACTCGCCACGGAATTTGGACATAACTCTGAGCTTGGAATTGCGTAATTAAACCGAATGAAATCCCCCAGAAATAGAGGAGTTTTCTTCAAAAAAAACTAAAAACGAATTCGAATTGCTTATCCATGAAAACCTATGATCACAAATTTTCAACCAAATCAGTCTCAAAAAAAAGCTTTTATTCCTGGGAATTTTCAGTGTAAACGTCAATAGGCGTGCAACGGAAAAACACCATATCTTGGCCACTTTTATTTCAATCTTTTTCTCTTTTATATCAAATAATAGGAAATGAAATGCTGCGTCGATTGCTATTAAAATGAAGAAAATTGGAATGAAATTGACTGAGAAATGCAATCAAGAAGATTGGAATATGACTGAAGTTGGCGATTGAAAGTTGGCGATTGAAAGTTGCCGGATTGAATCCTTTTTGGGAATACTGGGAGAACTGCCGATCTAAAGAAGAAAAGAGAAGGCTTTAAACCATCTGTATTGAAATACAGATGGAAATATTTATTTCAGCCTGAGCAGAATCTGTTTGATTTTAATTCTTGATTTAATTCTGATTGTTTTAGACTTTTAAGATTATCGAAAAGTTTTCCCAGTTTTCCATCTTTTTTTTTATTGACTTGCGAATTGGAAATGTTTAATTTACTAGTTTTTTGATGAAAGAAAACGGGTAGAAACTTCAAAAAGCAATACAATATTTGCATAGGCTGAGAAACGAATATGACTGAGATTTTTCCGTTGCACATCTATCTTATGGTGAAGATATCTTATAATGAAGATATCTTATAATGAAGATACCTTATGATCAAGATATCTTATGATCAAGATATCTTATGATCAAGATATCTTATAATGAAGATATCTTATGATCAAGATACCTTATGATGAAGATATCTTATGATGAAGATATCTTATGATGAAGATATCTTATGATGAAGATATCTTATGATGAAGATATCTTATGATCAAGATATCTTATGATGAAGATACCTTATGATCAAGATACCTTATGATCAAGATACCTTATGATCAAGATACCTTATGATCAAGATACCTTATGATCAAGATACCTTATGATCAAGATACCTTATGATCAAGATATCTTATAATGAAGATATCTTATGATGAAGATATCTTATGATGAAGATATCTTATGATTTGATATCTCTTTATCTTTGATATCTCTTTTAAACTTTCTAAAGCTTCAGACGGAATTCGACGATCTCGACGACGCTCTTTTCACGGTTCCATGGGATTCGCGGAATGGTCATCAACGATACAATGTCTATGTCCAACCACCACCCGATGAGGATCAAGGGGAAAAAGGAAGATTGACTCTGTCGAGGAGGAAACAAAATTATGGTATTTTTGTAATTTTGTAAAATGTTTACCGTAAATTTAAGAAAAATCTTTGAACTTTTTGATAATTCAGAATTTTCTCTTTCCCTTATCAATACATTTCAAGATTTTCTCTTTCCCTTATCAAGATCCATCAATTCCCTTTCAAGATCTCACTCTGCAAGTATTTCTAAGCATTTCCTCTAAATTCCAAGTTAGATTCTCAAAGAAAGTGACTCGGGGGTGGGTCATTACGTGGCTGTCATCGAGCTGTCATAGACCCGAGAAAGGAGAGATAAACACAGATCCGGGAAAGGGGGAAAGATCAAGAAAGGGATCGAGGTCGAGAAATGATTGCAAAGAAGCTCTTCAAGAAGGATTCACGTAAATGGTAATCTAGAATATAATAGTATGATTGAGAAATGATTCTAGATTCTAGAGCTGACTGGATTTTAGAGCTTGATTTAATAGCTGACTTGATTCTAGAGCTTGATTTAATAGCTGACTGGATTCTAGAGCTGGCTTGATTCTAGAGCTGGCTTGGTTCTAGAACTGACTGGATTCTAGAGCTGACTGGATTCTAGAATTGACTGGACTCTAGAACTGACTGAATTCTAAAACTGACTTGGTTCTACAACTGACTGACTTCAAACCTACCTCGCAAACATTCCGAAGTCTAAACTAGGTCTAAACCAGATTTCTAGTAATACTGGCCTTACTTACAGCTCTATGTAATAGAAAATTTGATTTCAAGTCAAATGAAAGGAAATAATCTTAAATTCAATGAAAATTCAAACAAATCCGGCTAAGATACGACCAAAATTCGTAGATTGCCAATTGTCAGACGTTCATTTACCAATTGTAGTTTGCAAACGGATCGAAAAAGGAGCTGAGTAAACATAGTTGAGTTTGACTAAGAGCTGAGCCTCCGACTGGACGTTCTTGGTCAAAAATTGTACAAAATTTGACTTCTAGGCCTTTCTGACTCTTCTACAAAATTTGACTCTTAGAGATGGAAAGTTTTATGTAAAAGAATCAAGTCAGTTCGAGAATCAAGCCAGCTCTAGAATCAAGCCAGCTCTAGAATCAAGCTCTAGAATCAAGCCAGCTCTAGAATCAAGCTCTAGAATCAAGCCAGCTCTAGAATCAAGCTCTAGAATCAAGCCAGCTCTAGAATCAAGCTCTAGAATCAAGCCAGCTCTAGAATCAAGTCAGCTCTAGAATCAAGCTCTAGAATCAAGCTAGCTCTAGAATCAAGCTCTAGAATCAAGCCAGCTCTAGAATCAAGCCAGCTCTAGAATCAAGTCAGCTATTAAATCAAGCTCTAAGATCCAGCCAGCTCTAGAATCTAGAATCATTCTAGATTAAGCAGTTAAAAATAGGTATAGGTAAAGGTAAAGGTACATAGGAAAGGTAAAGCTAATGAAAACAGGCATTTGATATCCCTCTCTCTCTCTCTCTCTTGACTACTATCAAAAGATCAGCCAAAGCTTTAGTCCTTTCACTTCATAGCCTCAAGGGATTCCCTTTTGATATCCAACTGGGTGTGTGTTTGTGTTGATTTTGACCCTCGAATCTCTTCTTCTTCTTTTCTTTTCTTTTCTTTGTGTGAAAGTCTTTTCTTTCATCATCTTCATCTCTTGGAAATCAAAATTTTCTCAAGAGTTTTATCTTCTCTTCACAAAAAGCGACACTGGATATCAATTGGGCTTTATCCAGAAATCACGATTTGCATTCAAAGCTCAATTTCGATTCAAGTGCATTTTTGCACTTATCGATTCAGATTACTGTACGAATTTGATAAGAAAACCGGGCTACCGTAATCAGCTACCGTAATCAGCTACCGTAATCGGCTACCGTAATCGGCTACTGTAATCAGCTACCGTAATCAGCTACGATTCAGCTTATCCTACTCCTTTTCTATTCAACAACTAGACTACCGTGCTGCTTATTGTCTCCACTGTACTGTAATTGTGCTTGTACTCTTGTACTGTACTGTAATTGTACTTGTACTCTTGTACTTTACTGTAATTGTACTTGTACTCTTGTACTACCTCTGCTTTATATTCAGCAACAAGATTAACTTCTTAAAAGCTTCAATATCGCTTCAACATCACTTCAACATCACTTCAACAGCTCTAATAGCCAACAGCAGCTCTAATAGCCAACAACAGCTCTAATAGCTCTAATTCAACAACAGCCCTATCCTTATTATCTTACAGTAATCTAAAATCATTTTTTCCTATCTTGTAACTATCTTCTACCATTAATCACCGTATTTTACATCTACGGCATGAGATAATCAATCAATTTCTCAAAAAAAAAATGATAATCCGACATTCAATCACGTTATTAATCTTCTTATTCTTATTAATCACAATCAAAGGATCATCTGATGACACTTTTCTTAAAAATCCCTTCAACGATTTTGGTAATTGAAAAGTTTTCATATAAATTGAAGAAGAATTGAAGAAATCTTTTTTAAAACTAAGCTTTACATAGCTTTACATAGGTTTACATAGGTTTACATAGCTTTACATAGCTTTAAATAGCTTTACATGGCGTTACACGGCTTTTACATAACTTTAGATAGCTTTACATAGCTTTAGATAGCTTTACATAGCTTTAGATAGCTTTACATAGCTTTAGATAGCTTTACATAGCTTTAGATAGCTTTACATAGCTTTAGATAGCTTTACATAGCTTTAGATAGCTTTACATAGCTTAAGAATAAAAGAGTTAAAGTTTCTAGATCTAAGATCTAATAAGGTATCTAAAAAGGAATCTAGAAAGGAATCTAACAGATCTAACAAGATCCAAAAAAAGTAAATTAAGCCGTTTTAAACCCTCGAACTCCGTCTCCTAATCCACTAACAAATACGCTACGATTTTCACGTAAACCTTATAAAGAGAAGCGAAATTGTGCGCGCTTTAGAATCATTTTACAAAAACGATTCAGATAAACTAATCAGATAAACAAATCAGATTCGAAAGCATAAAATTCTGCGGTCTATAGCTGATTTTATGAGCTGACCTTTGTTGACCATCTTTTGTAAGTATTACAGAGAAAAATCACTACAATGGTTAAAAGCTAGAGGCAACAAAAGCCAGTAAAGTATTGGAGCTAGTCTAGAAGCTAGTCAGCTAGCATCCCAGCAGTCAAACTAGCTTCCCAGCAGTCAGCTAGCTTCCCAGCAATCAGCTAGCTTCCCAGCAGTCAAACTAGCTTCCCAGCAATCAGCTAGCTTCCCAGCAATCAAACTAGCTTCCCAGCAGTCAGCTAGCTTCACCAAACTTTGTCTAGTTTACAGAAAAAACCTAGAACCTTACCCTTTCACAGAAAAATCTCTCCTCTTCTAGATTCTCTTCTAAATTCTCTTCTAGATTTTTCTCTCCTTTGCGCCGACGGAGTGCCACTGCTTCTCGAGGATGATAAGCCGAAGAAATGCGATCCGAAACCATATGTAAAGCTTTTCTTTGTCTAATTAAACTGAATCTTTCAGAAGCCGAGTCTCCGCTGTCCGATCGGTTTCTGGTGTCACAATGGTTTCTCCGAAGAGACTCAATATTGTTGTCCAAGGAATAAAAAAAGTAAGCCTAGAGCCTAGAGGAAAGGTTTAAGATTTCCCCTCAAATTCAGTTCGAAATCGTTGCCACTTGCAACCGGTGATCGGTCACGGGAAAGCCGAGATGGTTCGCTTTTATTACGATTGGAAACACGCGAGGTGCATGCAAATGATTTACACGGGAGTCGGTGGAAATGAGAACAATTTTATCACCTATGCAAAGTGCACCGAGAGTTGTAAAGGTTCGTTTGGGGGCTTAAAAGGTGCTTTGAGAGGGTACCGTAATGCCAGAGTGTTTATTTATACGATGAATAAGTTACGCCGTATTTTGAATTACTCTAAAGCATTGAAGCTCTTAAGCTCTTAAGCAAGATCATTGCTTAAATTCTAAATAGCAGTTGGAGTACGGTAGGTTTTCTAGAGTACGGTAGCATTTCTGGACTACGGTTGCTTTTCTGGAGTGCGGTAACTCTGGATTACGGTAACATTTCTGGGGTACGGTAGCTTTTCTAGAGTGCGGTAGCTTTTCTGGGGTACGGTTGCTAAAGCGCAGGCTGAGGCTTAAGAGTACTGTAGCTGTTAAGGAGTACTGTAGCTGTCAAGGAGTACTGTAGCTGTTAAGGAGTACTGTAGCTGTCAAGGAGTACTGTAGCTGTCAAGGAGTACTGTAGCTGTTAAGGAGTACTGTAGCTGTTAAGGAGTACTGTAGCTGTCAAGGAGTACTGTAGCTGTCAAGGAGTACTGTAGCTGTCAAGGAGTACTGTAGCTGTCAAGGAGTACTGTAGCGGTCAAGGAGTACTGTAGCGGTCAAGGAGTACTGTAGCTGTCAAGGAGTACTGCAGCTATCAAGGAGTACTGTAGCTGTCAAGGAGTACTGTGGATCTCAAGGAGTACTGTAGCTGTCAAGGAGTACGGTAGCTTTTGTTCCCAAGGAGTACGATAACTTCGTTTCCAAAGGAAAGCCTTTTTTCAAGGAGTACGGTAGCTTTACTAATTATGGTAATACGGTAACTTAGCCGTAACGATTACCTGTGGCACGGTAGCTTTGTTCAAAGGCTTTTAGAAAACAAGGCTCAGCACAATCACAATTTCAGGCAGTGGCGAGCCACCACAAGGCGAGTCCGTCTATCGACCGCTCAACTCGGGAAGAAATGGAGAAAATGAAGGTGAATATTATTTTAAGCCAGTATTTGACTCCTCTAATGAGCTATCCTTAAACCCCAGAACGGCTTTCAGCTTTAGAGTTGCGCCCCATCAAACCTTTTCCTTTTCAGCTCTATCTACAAGTCCCACTTCAGTCTCAACAACGACAACAGTTGTGCTCACAAATCCTATAACTATCTCAAAGACTACGACAAATGCGGTAACAACAAAGACAGTGCCAACAACAAGAACGTCGGGTAAGAAGGGAAAACTGATCTTTGGATATGGAGAATATTTGATCTGATCTGAGATTGATCTTTGAATGTAGAATTTCTGATTTGATTTGAAACTGATCAATTGATCAACTGATTAACTGATTAACTGATCAATTGACCAACTGATCAATTGACCAACTGATCAACTGATTAACTGATCAACTGATCAACTGATCAACTGATCAACTGACCAATAGATCAATTGACCAACTGATCAATTGACCAACTGATCAACTGATCAACTGATCAACTGATCAATTGACCAACTGATCAACTGATTAACTGACCAACTGATTAACTGATCAACTGATCAACTGACCAAATATTGACCAATAGACCAATTGACCAATAGATCAATTGATCAACTGCCCAACTGACCAATCAATCAATTCAGAACCCACAAAGCCATCGATCGATTTGGAAATCGAAGAGGAGAATGGCGAGGGGGATAATGAAGATGAAAAGTTCATTGGGAATCCGTGCAGTTTGCCGAGAGAGCGAGGAGAGGAGAACGGAGGACAGCCATTGAATCGGTCAGCTTTTGAATTTATCAGCTGATTCGCTGAAATGGCTTTTAAGCCACACAATTTTAAGTCAAAAAGAGCGTAAGCGGACTTTGCGGATTTGGATCCGGGGCTAAACTTGGTCTAAACAATTTAAGAGATTCAGCTATGTAAACTTTCAAAATAAATTTGCTGTAAACTTGCTCAAGAAACTCAAGAAGAGAGCACCAGCTGACGTCATACAGTTCTCCGGAAATTAGTCAAAAATCTGAGTCGTTTCGAGTCGTTTCGATGACTCGTTTGCATCTCGTGTGACAATAGGGGATTGAACCCGCGTTGTTGAGCGTTAGAAGGCTTGCGTAAGGTTCCGGTAAGGCTTACTGGATTCCGTCAACCCTTTACGAATACAAATTATTTAAAAGTAGACGGAGACTTAAGGAAAAGATTGATCTCAAGATTGATTTGGGCATAGTGACGGGTGAAATCTGCTCATTCTTCTTTGATCTTAAAAATTTGGGTAAGAACGGGTAAGAAGGTGAAGTAGTGACGGGCAAGCAGGTCAAATCTGCTGATTTTTCCCCTTTTTCAAGGAGTACGATGGCCTTAACAATCCTGTCAACGTTTTAACACCACGGAAACTCTTCAAGAATTCTGACCAACCCTCACCCAACCATTTACCAATGACTTGCAAATTCGAAAAGAGAAGCCCCTTATGCTGAGGGGCGTTGCCAGATGAAGAGTGATTACGCGCCCTCACAAAGAACACCCCGCACTCTCTTTACAAAGGAATCTCTTTTTTCCGTAAATGATTCCTAAATGAGATTTATTGTTAAAATTTTGTGCCTTAGGGTTTTTAAGGTCGTAGAATCGATTGCCGGGGTTTATTTTATTAGATCAACTGCTCAGAGTCCTCAATTTCAAAGCCACTTTGAACTAGCTCCGTTGAACTGGGGGATTCTCAATTTCCCCGTATTCAACCGCCAATGAGATTTAATGCTTGAAATTTGTGCCCTGGGGTTTTCAGGGCCGTAGAATCTATTGGCAGGGTTTATTTTATTGAATCTACTGCTCAAAGTGCTCAATTTCGTTGTCGTTTCGAATTCGGCAAAAGTGCTGGGTTTTTGCAGAAGTAAAATATGTAAAAAAAAGCAAAATACGTAAAAAAAGTAATCTGTATCACTTTTTTAGCTACTATTTCGATTCCTCAGTGCAAAATTGTGTTCAATTCACGTATTACGGAATTGGTGGAAATGCGAATCGTTTCGAAAGCTTCGATGAGTGTTCGATCACTTGTGCGGCTGGTTTGTCAACTGAAAACGACAATTTTAAGCTCATTAATACCATTTTTTTTTAGGAAAATCGATAAAAACCTCTTGTAACCTTTCGATTTCATCGGGAAATGGCCGTTTCGAGATTCCTAGATGGGCTTTTGATGAGAAAACAAAAAAATGCGTCCGTTTCAACTATTCTGGTCAAAATGGAAATGATAATCGCTTTTTGACAAGGAGAAAATGTGAAAGGATTTGCTTGAGAAGTGCGCGAATTTATTTTACGAGGAAAAATTGACGCTTTAGACCCAAGAAAGAATGGGAAAACGACAACGATTGTCGCCGGAGTGCCGCTGAATTTGGGAGAGAGAAGTGGGTTTGAAATGATCGTGTTGAAATGAATTTGAAATGAATTTGAAATGAATTTTGAAGTGGCCAGCCTTTGTACTTTGTAAAAGCTTTCTGGCACATCTTTTAGCAAAAGAAAATTCCAGCAACAACCCCATTCTCGAGGCTGAACAAGGGGAAGACCCGTCCACCCCAGCAAACCCTTTTCCCGCTTCCACCACCGCAACAACCGATCTCCGTTCAACCGCCGGCTCCCCACCAACCCCTTCCATCCACCTACATCAATCCGAAACCAATTGAAAAGGTAAATATTGAAGTAGGGAAGAAGTAATGCTTAGACATGGTGGGATAGAAATATACAAGGCTGGTCCTACAAGGGCTGCAGGGCTGGTCCTACAAGTCTTGTAGATTATAAACCATAGCTTGACCAGACCAGGCAGACCAGGCCAGACCATGGGTGTGATCTAGTTTTTCTGGCTGGTTAACAAAAAGTTTCGACTAGATTAGGACTAGAGCTTACAGAGACAGAGCTAGAGCTAGAGCTGGAGCTAGAGCTAGAGCTAGAGCTAAATCTAGAGCTAAAACTAGAGCCAAAACTAGAGCTAGAGCTAAAACTAGAGCTATTATCAAGTTTAGAACTAGTACTTCTAACTTTAGCACTTGGGCTGTGGGTGCCTGGTCTGTCAAAGCCAAGCTATTAGAGTTACACTCATGGTCCTGATCAAGGCCTGGGCCTTGATCTTTCCTGTCCTGTCAAGCTATGGTTTATGTTCTACAGGACTTGTAGGACTTGTAGGACTGGACTTGTAATCTAGCCTGGCTTGGAAATTTGCTCTTATTTTCAAATTCACTCAAATTCAAAAGAAAGCCAAAAAAATATCCACAACCGGGTCCGAACCAGGATCAGAGGGGCAACGTGCGAACGTGAGCAGACTTACCTCTACACTATCTAGCCATATGATTACGGGAAAGGGAAAGTCCATATATCCCTGAGATTCGATTCCTCGACTAAAACTTTGCAAGCGTTTTTCTTGTGAACCATTGAGAATGGGGGAAAAAGAAATAGAGGATCGTGTTCCCGATGCTCGATAGGCGTTTGCATTTCAGCGGCTTAGCAAAATCATTGGGCCAGCTCGGGCAATTCCCCTTTTAGATTCCCAATTCCCTAGCCTGCACAGAGCTTCATAAATAGTAAATCGGAATAGTAAATCGGAATAGTAAATAGAATAGTAAATAGAATAGTAAATAGAATAGTAAATAGAATAGTAAATAGAATAGTTAAAACACTGTAATCTTCAAAAAATCTTAAAAAGTAACCAAAAAGGAATATTTCAGAAGATCGAGCTGAACAAGACGCTGCCTCCAAACATCCCAATTGCCGTTTTCCCCAGTCCAGGCATGCTTCCAGTCACTCAGCCAACTTCCGCGCATACTGTAAAGCAATCTTTAAGTGAAGCTTTACAAAGCTTTTATTTAGTCACCTTGCCGTCAGCCATTACCCCTACAACCGGTGATTATGTGTCACACTGGGACACCATGCCCAATCACAACTTTTTGTCAGGTAATTTGTAGAGCAATCATTGCCATCAATGTTACAATGTTTTTACTATATTAGATCGGTGAAGGGCACAGCATTTGTTGTCCGATAATCGACGCTGAGCCGTGTCAACAATTGCCCGAACCTGGCACCGGTAATGCTCAGATTGGCCGTTGGGCATTCGATCCATCCACACAGCAATGCTCTCCATTCGTTTTTAGAGGATTTCAGGTAAAGAAAGACTTTGAATTTCTAAACTTTGCAACTTGAGGGTAATCAAAATAACTTCCGTACCTTTGTGGATTGTGCGAGTACTTGCGGTGGTCGGAGTCCGTGTACAAGGGGAGAGCCAGCGTTTCCTCTCATCGCTGGTGAACGGTCGGTTTTAGAAAGTTTGAACTAGCCAAGTTTTAGAAAGTTTGATCTAGTCAAATAGCCAAGTTTGTAATGCCTTCTTCAGCTGTTCCGCTACGAACAATTGCCCAAGGAATTTCGTCTGTTCGGCTGATCCGTTCTCGTTGGAGCCGGTTTGTTGCCCGGAGGCGCCGACGAGTATTGAGGAGTTCACTTTCAGTAAAGGGCCAAGGACTGGGTGAGTTGGGCACTGTAGGTACTGTAGAGTAGTGATGTTCATTTGTCGATTTGATTGTCAATAGTTGTGCAAAGGAAATGTTAATTCCAATAGATTTCAATCTTTCAGCTACACTCCTCCAATTCCACAAGAAGCTGGTCCGATCACTGTTCCCACCCCTCCACCAACTCTTCTACCATCATCGTGTAAACTTACAGCTATTGCATTGAACTAAAACATTCATCTTTTACTTATCATTAGATCCTAAGAAGGCTACGTCGATGGCTAAGCCTAGGCCTAAGCTTGAGCCTGAGCCTAAGCCTGATCCTAAGAATGCTACGTCGATGCCTACGCCTAAGCCTAAGCCTAAGTCTAAGCCCAAGCCCAAGCCCAAGCCCAAGCCCAAGCCTAAGCCCAAGCCCAAGCCCAAGCCTAAGCCCAAGCCTAAGCCTAGGCCTAAGCCTAGGCCTGAGCTCTTAGCTAATAATTTCATACGTAAAAAGAGCTATTCTAAAGCAAACAATAACAGTTGTGCATATGTTTATTGAGTAACTTTACGTCAAAACAACAAAAAGCTAAAAGAAATCTGAATTCAATACTTCATTTCAGTGTTCACTGTCGATCCATGCGCTCTACCAGGAGATCCGGGTTACGGTACCACGATGTCGTTGCGTTTCTTTTATGACAGCGAAACGGCATCCTGTCAGACGTTTCAATATAATGGAAATGGGGGAAATGATAATAATTTCGTTTCCCTAGCTGACTGTCGACGAGTCTGTCCTGGTGAGTGAAAAGCTATAAAAACAAACTCAACTTCTAGAATCCAATTGAAATTTGGTAAGTTAACCTTGCAGCTAGGCTTTAATCAATCTGAATCAAGTTTCATTAATCGATTAGCTAGGATTGATTCACTCCAGAGTCCCAGAGTCTCCAGAGTTCCTCGCCAAGTCTTGGAACATAAAATATGAAATCTCAGTTATGATTGTTTAAAAATTGCTCTTTCTTGCATTCCTCTGGTCTTCTAGAATACCGTTATCATTGTAATATTGTAAAGATTAACTTCAGAGTACCGTAACCCTTGTCCGTCGGGTTCTCCACTTCTTGACTCGACCTCGAATGCGCTTTTCTGCGGGGTTTACGGTGGGCATTGTCCAGTTGGTGGCTGGTGTCATCACGGATCCGATCGAGCCACAACTGTTTGCTGTTCTGAAGGTGGGGGTGAATCTTTGACAAGAGAATGTCACTAGCTCGAAGTTGAGAATAGCTTTGTGACCGAGTGCATCTCATAGATCGTATGATTCTGAAGCTGTAAGAATTAGAACATCCAGGGAATTACAAGGAATCTGACATAGGGAATTCTTGGTCCTATCCTGGAGTCTTGGAGTCCTAGAGTCTTGGAGTCCTAGAGTCTTGGAGTCCTGGAGTCCTGGAGTCTTGGAGTCTTGGAGTCTTGGAGTCCTGTAGTCTTGGAGTCTTGGAGTACTGGAGTCCTGGAGTCTTGGAGTCTTGGAGTCCTGGAATCTTGGAGTCCTGGAGTCTTGGAGTCTTGGAGTCTTGGAGTCTTGGAGTCCTGTAGTCCTGGAATCTTGGAGTCTTGGAGTCTTGGAGTCTTGGAGTCCTGTAGTCCTGGAATCTTGGAGTCTTGGAGTCTTGGAGTACTGGAGTCCTGGAGTCTTGGAGTACTGGAGTCCTGGAGTCTTAGAGTCCTGGAGTCTTGGAGTCTTGGAGTCCTGGAATCTTGGAGTCTTGGAGTCCTGGAATCTTGGAGTCTTGGAGTCCTGGAATCTTGGAGTCCTAGAGATATCTTTACTTTGCCAATTTGTCAATCCATCGATCCAATCGATCAAAAACCAAAACTTCAGCTAACTAACTTCAGCTTTTGACCCGTGCGCTTTGCCACTCTCAGCTGGGACAGGCAGAGAGCAACTCTCTCGTTTCTATTACAATGAAGAGGCTCGGCAATGCGAACAATTCGTTTATTCTGGATCTGGAGGAAATCAGGTGGTTACTGTTATTGAAAACTAATCCCTTTTTAGAACAATTTCCTTTCAAAAGCCGATTGTGAGAGCTCTTGTCCTGTTGTCGAAAATCCTTGCTCCGTTGGCCTGCCCGCTTTTGATGTTGACGGTAATTGATCAGCTAAACATGTACTTTGTGCTCTATCTCAGAAACGCAAGCTCTCTAGCGCACTGTATACTAGATGACGTACTTTGCAAACACACGTTTTCTGTGGCACTTGATTTTCTGTGGCACTCAATTCCTCTTGAATCTCTATGTAATTTCTCTCTGTCGCAAGAAATGTTAAAGTGCTTAGTGCATTAGAAAGCTGGCGTTTTCATCTTTAAGCACAAAGTACAGGTATTGAATGAGTCAAATCTGACTTTCAGGCGTCCCAATGACCTGTTCAACATCAGACTCATCTTGTCCATCCGGTTTCTTTTGTCACATCGGTGCCACTTCTGTAACCACAGTTTGCTGTCATCGAGGTTAATAAACTTATCGTTAAAACAAATCCAACTTCCAACAAATCCAATTAAAAACACTCGATTCAGTTGGTGACCCTTGCACTCTTCAAATGGCTCGCGGGAATGGCGCTCATGTGCTGAATCGTTGGTACTACGATCGAGATACGAAAGTAGCAACTGATCACTGATCTAGATTCAAAACCTTTTCAGTTATGCGCGAGTTTCGTCTACTCGGGCAAAAGCGGAAATGAGAATAATTTCCTTTCGAAGGCCGATTGTCAATCGCAATGTCCAGAGTTTCAGTGAGTCTTGAACATCACAAACGAACAATGAATAAGCTCGATAAGGCGCTTTGGGACAAGGACTACTAGTCCACATCTTGATCCAAGTTACACCTTTTAGTTGAATTTTTTCAAGTTCTAAGCATGCTTTGACAAGCTTTGACAATAAGGGCACAAGGTCTGGCAATAAGGCCAGGCAGGTCAAGCAATAAGGCCAGGCAGGTCAGGCAATAAGGCCACAAGGTCTGGCAATAAGGCCAGGCAGGTCAAGCAATAAGGCCAGGCAGGTCAGGCAATAAGGCCACAAGGTCTGGCAATAAGGCCAGGCAGGTCAAGCAATAAGGCCAGGCAGGTCAGGCAATAAGGCCAGCCAGGTCAAGCAATAAGGCCAGGCAGGTCTGGCAATAAGACCAGCCAATAAGGCTTGTCAGATCAGGCAATAAGGCCAGGCAACAAGGCCAGGCAGGTCAGGCCAGATCTAGATCTAAATCCAGGCTTGACTTCTAGTGGACTCATACATCTAGACTTGTAGGTACCAAAACTGGACCAACTTCTAGAAACTAAACAAGCCCATAACTTGGCTTCTGGCCTGGCTTGGCCTGCTAGAACCAAGTCTAACCTCTTGGTCAAGCCTTTTGCATATCATTGCTCAGAGAATTAAAAGATCTACAAGATTAGGTTCATAATTCGAAATTTTCTGACGGTCTGAGAAATTTCCAAAGTAAGGGACAAGGGTTTTATGACCAGGTTGACCTCGGTAGACCAGTTAGAACTGGCTAGACCTCGGTAGACCAGAGCTGGCTTCTAGCCTGAGACTGAGCTTGGCTGACTTGGAACAATCCTGCTGAAAAGTTCTTTGATGAAAAGCCAAATTTGTACAGCTTCCTTTCATTTCAGATCGCCCTGTTCGGCCGGTCTGCCACACATCGATTTGAGCGGACAATTCACAAGATGCTCGGCCACGAACACGACTTGTCCAACCACGTATTGGTGTCATTTGGGAGTGTCCGCTGAGAGCACAGTATGTGAAATCAGCCTAAAAATTCATCTCTAAACATCTCTAAACTAGGTGTGTTGCCCGGGAGCCGCCGATCCCTGTGAACAGCCGTTGAGCGTCGGGAATGGACAGTTTGCTGTGAATCGGTGAGAGCTATAGTTTGAAATCGAATACCGTACTCTTTTCAGATTTACTTTTGATCATGTCACTCGCACTTGTCGCCAATTTTACTATTCGGGTAGTGGTGGGAATGAGAATAACTTTGCGAGGAAAGAGGCTTGCGAGAAGCGATGTCCAGGTGGGTTTCAACGTCAACTTGACTGCTTTAGATTTCCAAATTATTCTCTCATGTCTCTCAGCTATCATGTTTCTTTAGTTTTTGCGAATCCTTGCGCTATTGGAGAACCGCAAAGTGACGAGAATTTCTCGCCGATTCATTGCACGGCTGAGGATGAGAGGTAAAAGGTTTTATGATAGAACAAGAGATGAAAATGTTTGAATTAGCCCAGGTAAGGCCAGGACAAGCTCAGGCAAGGCCAAGGACAAGCTCGGGCAAAGCCAGGACAAGCCCAGGCAAGGCCAGGGCAAACCCAGGCAAAGCCAGGACAAGCCCAGGCAAAGCCAGGACAAGCTCAGGCAAGGCCAGGACAAACCCAGGCAAAGCCAGGACAAGCTCAGGCAAAGCCAGGACAAGCTCAGGCAAAGCCAGGACAAGCTCAGGCAAGGCCAGGACAAACCCAGGCAAAGCCAGGACAAGCTCAGGCAAAGCCAGGACAAGCTCAGGCAAAGCCAGGACAAGCTCAGGCAAGGCCAGGACAAACCCAGGCAAAGCCAGGACAAGCCCAGGCGAGGCCAGATCAAAGCCAAGCCTATCAATAACTTAGTAGATCTGTATTGTATCTGTATTCTAGAGATTTGTAGACCCAGCTGGGTCTTGGAGCTATAAGCCAGTCCAGAAAAGACTAGGATAAAGCCAGAAGCCGACAATTGCACCCCGTGAAGACTAGAACGCCACCCCAATGACGGGCCAGTCGCGTAACTTTCCCATTCTCCGAGCTGGGTAACGTCCCATTCTCCGCGCTGGTTTAAGCTACAGTGTCCGCTTGAGAGTCAAATGATAGCTCTTGAAATCTAGTACTTTTTGGTATCAAAAGTGTAATCGGGAAACATCTAGGGGCTGAAAAAAAAGATTGATTTTCTAGAAAGAAGTTTGCGACTGTACGAGAAGGTGGGGTTCTGCTAGAGTATTTATGAGCTATCGATTAGAGTATTACAGTATGTATATTCCAGTTAAGCCTATAAGCCAGCCTAGAAAAGGTCAATCCAGTGGCCTGGATCTGACTTCTGAAAGATTCAGTCAACTGTAAATCTAAAACAAAGCCAGCGCAAGTCAAGCAAACACAAAGCCAGTTAGAACTGGCTTTGTCCATGCTAAAACAAGATCAGAGTCAGGTTTGGCTGGACTGGACTAGACTGACTCTGGCTCTGGAGTCTGGCTGGGACTAGCTGGTCTGATTGATAGGCCAAGCCTAGTACATTAAACTGGTTGGAGGACCTGACTTCTGGCTTGGTTCTGGCCTGATTCTCGCTTTGCTTAAACAATAGTAATGAAAGCTTTCCAACAAAAAATGTTTCTAGTATGTGCTCGGAGGGATATTTCTGTCATTTGGGCGCTCACGAGCATACAACGGTTTGTTGCCCAGGAAGAGCCGACGATCCGTGTGCACAAGGGAAATCGGAAGGGAAAGGAGACGAGTCGATTCAAAGGTCAGTGATGCTCTGATTTACAGGGATGCTATGAGAGTACTGTAGTTTGTGCAGAGGTTTTTTGTGTAGTCAGTCAAAAAGCTAACTCGATTCCATAGTTTCTCAGTGTTACGGAAAGAAATCAGTGCGAAAAAATGCATGGATTGATTCAAAAGGCCTCTCGAGTGGCCGCGGCGACCTGTGGGCTTAGCGCAGTGGCAGAGCGTTTGATTGGGGCGCGAAAGCTTGAGGGTTCGAGTCCTCCGACTGCCCTTATTTTTGCTTTTGCTCCAAAAAGTTCTAAAAGATATTTGGCATACTTTTGCGCATATTTAAAACTTTTTTCAGATACTTTTTCTCATCAGAAACCCGTCAATGCTTGGCTTTCACTTTTAAAGGACTTGCCGGCAATCAAAACAATTTCCGTAACAAAATTGATTGCGAGCTTCGATGTCCAGGTATTATTTTCAAAGAAATCATTCCAGAAGTCATTCCAGAAAAGCCAGATTCCCTAGAAAATGCTTAAGTTTTAAGTTTTCTTTGGTAAAAATTGGTTATTTTGATTATCTTTTGATTATCTTTTGACTAGCTCCGTCTTTTTCTCAAGTTTCTATCCAATTCCGATTCCGATTCCGATTCCAAGAGTGTTATAACAATTTTTCTGGCGTTATACTAAAATTTTAACAAAATTCCAGTTAGATTTTAATCATTTTAACCCCAAAAATTCGAAAATTAAAGAAATTTCCCCTCGATTTTCAGTCCTCGAAAACCCTTGTCCAAGCGGTCAACCACTCACGACTTTGGCCGGCGAATTCCTTCTTTGCTCCGCCTCATTCGCTCACAGTACTCATTTTTAACCAGATTTTTTGAGAAAATAACCACCCCTTTTCAGCGTTAATCCGCAATTGTCCCACTGGCTTTTGGTGTCACGTCGGCGAGCAGCGAAAGATTGCTGTGTGTTGTCCGGGAGGTAGTCCACGTATCACTCATAACGAAATACTTACCCAAAAACAATCGTTTATAAAACTCACAATCTAACATTAAAGTAATCTACTATATAAAAAGCAATGTCTGTCCATTTGTCTGTCCATTTGTCTGTCTGTTTGTCTGCCCGTTTGTCTCTCCGTTTGTCTCTCCGTTTGTCTGTCTGTTTGTCTGTCTGTTTGTCTGTCTGTTTGTCTCTCCGTTTGTCTGCCCGTTTGTCTCTCCGTTTGTCTCTCCGTTTGTCTGTCTGTTTGTCTATCCGTTTGTCTATCCGTTTGTCTATCTGGTTCTCGGCTCTTCGTGAGCCGATTTATATGATTTTGAGCTTATTAGAACTATGTAGTTGTGCATCTCCCATTTTGTTTTTTTAAAAAGCAAAAGTGGTACAGCCGGGAGTCGAACCCGGGTCCTGTGGGCCGTAGACAAGCGCGCTACTCACTGCACCAACGTTTCAAAAGGTGAAAACAGCGGAAGTTTACATACGAAAATTAGGAATCGAGTTATTTTGACATCTACTTACCTACTTTCCTATCTACTTTCCTCTCTATGTCTGTCCGTTTGTACGGGCTTTTTCTCAGCCGTTTTTGAGCCAAAAAAAGCTAAAATGTTTTAAAAGTTTTAAAATATAATCTAGTTATGCCATTTGAGATTTAAAAAATGAAAGAAGTGACATCTAGTGGCACTAAAGAAGGGATTCGAACGTTGAGCCTGTGAACGGTAGACAAGCGCGCTCTCTGCTGAGCCACGGCGATAGGCAAAAATGGATTTTAGCTGGTATAAAACTAAAAGAGCTCGAGGCAAGCATATGGGCAAAACAAGAGATAGATAAAGAGACAAAGGCAAAACAAGAACAAGACAAAGAGACAAAGCTCTTTGACTTCGCAAATTAACCTGTTGAATAGTTAACTCTCTCTGAAGCAAGGGATTACAGTTGGGTTGTGGTGTAATGGTTGGCACATTTGATTAGTAAGCGAAAGGTCGCGGGTTCGAGTCCGGGCGTCGCACAATTTTTGATCTTCCCTGGTTCCAACGATTGAATAACTTCAGTATTGAATCAGGCGATTGGACAAGTTTGTCTAAATCAAATTTAATAAAAGTAACAATAACAAGTTTTCGTTTTCAACTCCTGAAAGAATTCTGTGTTTTCAGGAGCTTCCTGTGCAGCCAAATCATGAATTTTACGGTTTCGTTTTTATCATTTCCCTCATTTTCAGATGCCGATCCCTGCAATCTCCCAATCGGTCAGGGTACTGGAAACTCAGCAATTTCTCGTTTCTACTACGATAAACATTTCCGTAAATGTGTTCGTTTCACGTATTCTGGCCGTGGCGGGAATGCGAACAACTTTGAGACACTGGAAGATTGCCAAAATAAATGCCCTGAATTTATGTGAGTGAAAAAGTATATCAGTAAGCGGTTTACTATATCAGCTTTTCTTAAAACGCTCTTCGAAAGCTTTTAAATCGTTTCCGAAGCTTTTAAATCGCTTCCGAAGCTTTTAAATCGTTTCCGAAGCTTTTAAATCGCTTTCGAAGCTTTTAAATCGTTTCCGAAGCTTTTAAATCGTTTCCGAAGCTTTTAAATCGTTTCCGAAGCTTTTAAATCGTTTCCGAAGCTTTTAAATCGCTTTCGAAGCTTTTAAATCGTTTCCGAAGCTTTAAATCGTTTCCGAAGCTTTAAATCGTTTCCGAAGCTTTTAAATCGTTTCCGAAGCTTTTAAATCGCTTTCGAAGCTTTTAAATCGTTTCCGAAGCTTTTAAATCGTTTCCGAAGCTCTTAAATCATTTCCGAAGCTCTTAAATCGTTTCCGAAATCAAGAATCCCTTGTCAGAAATCCATGCGCAGCCGGGGATCCTGCCACGGCATCAGATGGATCGATTATCAGTTGTGGAACAGAGGGAATACAGTGCGGCGATGGATACTACTGTCATAGAGGGCACACATCGGATAATATGGTAAATAGAGTTTGTTCTTTGCGGGTAATTTACTTGAGTAAAATTTGCATGTGATTAATCGACGTTTCTAGTCGAGTAGCTACGAGTCGAGCCGCCACACGTCGAGTGACGTGAATATGTTTAAGTTTGAAGGGAATTTGTCACCAGATCAGTTAAACGGCTGAATATCTTTAAAAGGAATTGTATATAGGGTAGCGTATATAAGGCGGCTTATATAAGAGGGTTTATATAAGACAGCGTATACAATGCAGCGTATGTAAGGCGGCGTATATAAGGCAGCGTATATAAGGCAGTGTATATAGGACAGCGTATATAAGGCAGCGCATACAAGGCAGCATATAGGAGACAGCGTATAGAAGACAGCCTATAGAAGACAGCATATAGGAGACAGCGTATAGAAGACAGCCTATAGAAGACAGCATATAGGAGACAGCGTATAAAAGACAGCCTATAGAAGACAGCGTATACAAGGCAGCGTATGTAAGGCGATGTATATAAGGCAGCGTATATAAGGCAGCGTATATAAGGTGGCGCTCGTGATCTTTTACGCTAAATTTTTCGCTCAACTCAATCTTTTGCGCAACTCGCCATAACTTTTTTCTAAGTGGGCCAATCTTTATGATTTTGGATGTCATTTTGTTGCACTTATTGAGGTCTACAAAATGGCATTAAAATCATAAAGATTGGCCCACGTAGAAGAAAGTTATGGCAAGTTGCGCAAAAGATCCAGTTAAGCAAAAATTTAGCGCAAAGTAGTCACGCTTTTTTAGAATAATTTTGGCTAAACGAACGCTAAACGGTAAAGGAATTTTTCTCGGGTATGCGCTTGAAAAACTTTATTCGCGAGAAACACCATCTAAATAAGTAAATACAAATGCTGAAATGATATCTGGACTATTTAAAAGTGGATAAGAGATGTCTAGATTAGAGTTTAAGAACAAAACGGATTAGATAAAAGTAAACAGAACAATATCGTTGTTTTGGCAACATTGGCACGAAGAGTATAACCGTTTACGATCACAACTAACAAAATTCAGGTGTGTTGCCCAAAGTTGGGTGATCCTTGTCAAGCGCCGCGGCAAGAAGGAGATGGAGAAGCCACGTTGAGCAGGTAATTGAAAGCTTTTATCTTGGGATATCTTGGGATATCTTGGGATATCTTGGGATATCTTGGGATATCTTGGGATATCTTGGGAAAGTTATCCTAATCTTTTGTCAAGAATACCTTTACTTCAAAAGTAACCTTTACTTCTCAAATCCTTTTATTATCTTTTATAATTTAGATGGTTTTTCGATGCAATGACTTTATCATGTGCTCCTTTCACATATCTCGGTCGGGGCGGTAACGAAAATAACTTTGTGACGAGGGACGAGTGCGAGATCACGTGCCCAGGTTGGTGGACTTTCTGCTCCCAGAAGCGCACTCTTTCTGGCGCGCTCTGTGGCGCACTCTTTCTTGCGCACTCTTTCTTGCGCGCTCTTTCTGGCATGCTCTTTCTGGCACGCTCTTTCTTGCGCGCTCTTTCTGGCACGCTCTTTCTTGCGCACTCTTTCTTGCGCACTCTTTCTGGCTCACTCTTTCTTGCGCACTCTTTCTTGCGCACTCTTTCTTGCGCACTCTTTCTTGCGCACTCTTTCTTGCGCGCTCTTTCTGGCATGCTCTTTTTGGCACGCTCTTTCTTGCGCGCTCTTTCTGGCACGCTCTTTCTTGCGCACTCTTTCTTGCGCACTCTTTCTTGCGCACTCTTTCTTGCGCACTGCTTTTGGATTACAATCTATCTTTCAGCCTTCGTCAATCCCTGTCCCAACTCAACTCTCTCATGGCCAACGATTCCGAAATGTGATGGAAATGTTGATGCCTGTCCCACAGGTCAATGGTGTCACCCCGGGCATACAAGAACAACAAATGTCTGCTGTCCATCGGGTATTTGAGTTTAAAAAACAATTTAAAACGCAATTCTACTCAATTCTACTCAATTCTAGCTTCTCTAAACCCTTGTGTACTGGCACTTGAGCAAGGACGATCGTCTAAAGTCGGCCCTTTCACACGTTTCTTCTTCAACTCGGTCACCGATCGGTGAGTTGGCTTTCGATTGTGGTACTTTTGATGTTATCTGGGGGATCTCAATGGAAAAATACATGTTTTATGATTACAACGCTTTTTGACATTAGAATTTCATAGTTCCTTTATTGAACTTTATTGAAAAGGCAAAAAATTAAATTCAATATATAAGAGCCTGAGATGAAAACAATTTGCCCCACTTTACTTCAAAATTCTCGGAAAACAGCGCGAAAAGAATGCTATCGTCTACTGTCAACAATGGATTGATTGCCGAACTGTTTGAAAGGTGATCGAATGTCGCTCGAAGCTTGAGGATCGGATCAATACCGAAGATCGGATCAATACCGAAGATCGAATCAATCTCGAGAATCGGATCAATCTCGAGGATCGGATCAATCTCGAGAATCGGATCAATCTCGAGAATCGGATCAATCTCGTTGGGGATGCAATCAACGTGTCTACATGGGACTTCTAGGCTCGATTGGTTCCATTCGGGTGAACAATTGGTTCATGGATTCAACGCTCAAGTTCGTCATCTCTTCATTTCATTCATCTATGGGCAAACGAAAATTCGACAATCAAATTTTGTGAAGAAGAATTGGAGATGCCTTCATAATCCATTGATTGCAACTTTCACTTGCGTCAAGTGTGTGCATGGAGCTCTGTGAATCAAACTTATGAGTTTTGGAGCTCTGTGAATCGAAGTCATGAGCCTTGGAGCTTCGTGAATCAAACTTATGAGTCTTGAAGCTCTGTGAATCGAACTCATGCAATTGAAGGCCCGGGTGTACTGTTGAGATCAACAAATCCCTCTTTTCGCAAAGCGGAAATATCATGTTGGTCGATGAGAAGTGGTGTTTTGGCGAAGAGTGCTGATCAAATGAAAAGTTTTGTGTGCTCGTTCCAGCTGCTACTTTCCAACTATCGAGCAATGCATTCTGAAGCCCATTTCTGATGGATGGTCTTCGTATCAAACTCTTGTTTCCCACCCCGACTATCAGTTAGTCGTATCAGTTTTCTGAGATTTTCCCAAATAACACAAAAGTACCTCGATTCTCACTGAGAAGCTTTTCAAAAATGAATCATTCTTGCACTTTTCAGTTGTGAGCCCTATCAATACACAGGCATTGGTGGGAATCAGAACAGCTTCTATACATTGGAGGATTGTCAAAGGAGGTGTCCGGGTGGGTAAAACTTAATAAAATAGAGAATCAACTACTATAGCCATATTTTAGTTTTGATTATTTGATCTTTCAGGACAATTACACGCGTCAACCCCATGCGAGCAACCGGTTCAACCCGGCGAGGGGCATCTATTCTTGACCAGGTAGCTCGTCGGCAATTTTCTATCAGCTAGATTATCTATAGAAATCTATCAGCTATATTATCTATAGAAATCTATCAACTATATCATCTATAGAAACTTAGAGATACAGTCATCCAAGTAATTCATCCATCCAAGTCATTCAATGAATCGAGAAAAATGTTACTTATAAGTGGGATTATTGAGGGGTTACTTTGAGGTACAAAGTTACAAAGATGCTACAAAGATGAGGGGTTACTCTATAGATGTTTTTGGTTTGCTGGAAACCATCCAATGACTTTAAAAGGCAAATTATATTAAATAAGCTTTTCCCTTTATTTTGATAAAGCTTTTATTTTATTAAGAAAGTTTTAAGGGAGTTTTATAAGAGAGGGATGACTGCACTTAACTTAACTTAACTCATAGTTTCATACTTTCATAGTTTCATGGTGTTGTGCTTGATTTAAAGCTAAAAGCTTGTATCTGGGATCGGGAAAACGATTGACAGTGTTTATGAAATAGGCAAACAAGCTGTATTTCGACAAAAGCGAAGTTTAAGCGGGTTTCTTCAAAGCTCCACCTGAAATTTTCCTTTCTTTCACTGATAAAAGATTTTAGATACTATTTCCATGCGGGTTTTAATCAATGTCTACCGTTTGTTTTCACGGGAAATGGCGGAAACTTGAACAACTTTGAGACGCTTGGCGAATGCGTACACAAATGTTTGGTAGCGAAAAAAATCGGTGAGGAAAAAGATGACAAAAATCTGAAACCAAATCTGAAACCAAATCTCAAGTGTCTCCTTGGCTTTGGAGTTGGTTTGGAGTTGGTTTAGAGTCTTGTATCCGAGTCGGGAGGTCACTGGTTCGATCCCAGTTGCTAGAACATCTAACTCCTTTTCTCAGATACATTTTTCTTTTCAACTCTGCGCTAATACCCTTTCTTTAAGGGTATTAGCGCAGTAGGGATGGAGTTTTCGATTTGTTTCTGTCAAATTTCTGTTTCTGTTCATGTTGAATAAATGTATACCTTGTTTAATCATTTAGCATCCGCTGAAGTGCCTTTTCAAATTCGTTTCAACTCACTGAGATCCTCGTCGAGTGAGTCAACTCAGCCACTCGTCACCTCAACGCATCCAACGCTGGCCCCGCAGAGTGGACAGGTAGAACTTTCAATAATTTAAATATATCTAGTAGTAGTCGCAAAGAAAATCGCTAAAAGATTACAGTTAAGATAGCCCTAAGCAACTATTAAAGAGGCTATGCGGCGTACGGTTACGATAGACGGGGCATACTTTAGGATAAGATAGACTGGCACACTTTAGGCCATGGTAGACAGGGCATACTTTAGGATACGGTAGACGGGCACACTTCAGACTACGATAGACGGGCACACTTTAGGCCATAGTAGACGGGGCATACTTTAGGATACGATAGATGGGGCACACTTTAGGCTGCGATAGACGGGGCATACTTTAGGATACGGTAGACGGGCACACTTTAGGCTGCGATAGACGGGGCATACTTTAGGATACGGTAGACGGGCACACTTTAGGCTGCGATAGACGGGGCATACTTTAGGATACGGTAGACGGGCACACTTTAGGCTGCGATAGACGGGACCCACCGTAGCCAGCTTTAAATTGCTTCAAATTCACCGGCTTAAATTGGAAAAGCAGCCGAATCTGGTAGTTTTTAACGAAAGAGCAATTTAACGTTCGCCTTCTGGCAAACCTTTCGCCTTCCGCCGCCGACCAGTGCTCGTTCCAATTTCCCAAGAAACAGCAGAAAGCTTTCGATCTTTACTTAAACTAATGGGAAAAAGTGTTAAAGAAATAGTGTCTCGGCTGAACACACAAAAGAACACAAGAACGAATAGTATCAGGATAAGGTTTAAAGATATTTAAAGGTTTAGAGAGCAGCTGGATACTGTAGTTTTAACAAGAGTACTTGATAGGGAAGGTTTTGAAGACAAGAACAAGAAAGAGGACAAGAAAAAGAATAAGAACGAGGACAAGAACAAGAAAAAGAACAAGAACAAGAAAAAGACCTATCGTGAATCTAAAAATCGACCTTTTCCTTAGAACGAGCTCTTCCACGAGGATCGCCTCTGTCCACAGGGAGATCCGCTGAAGACTGAAGCGGGAATCCCGATCAGTTGCAGCATAAAACAAGTGAGTTTAAACTCACTTAACTTATAAATTAACTTATAATTAGAAAAATTTGATAGAAAGATCGAATCCTTAATAGTTTTTTGTATATTCTTGAGTCAAGAATCTTTCAGCAAGTCGGTTGTCCATCAGCCGGTTTCGTTTGCATTCAAATGTCATCTGGAGACGCTTTTTGCTGCCCAAATCCACGTTGGTCTTAAGTTTTTCAATTCGAAACTTTAAGACCGAGTTTTTAGATCATTTAATCTTTTACAGTGAGACAGTATTTTCATATTTTTACTTCTAGAATCCTTCTGCCTTCAACCGGAATCCTCTGGAAATTGCCGCTTCGGCAGTCATCCGATCACTTTAAATGGAATCACTCAAGCGCCAATATCGATGACTTTACAACAAAGGTATCAGAAAGGGAAAAGATTGTCTAGAAAGATCTAGAATGCCTAGAAAAGATCTAGGATGTCTAGAAAGATCTAGAATGCCTAGAAAAGATCTAGAATGCCTAGAAAGAACTAGAATGTCTAGAAAGATCTAGAATGTCTAGAAAGATCTAGATTGTCTAGAAAAGATCGATTTACATCAAATCGAACTATTGATTTTGTTGAAACCATTCAATTGGGTTGGTGAATTGAAAACTGCGGGACTTTGAACTAAAACTTAAACTAATAACTTAAATTTAACGAATAATTAAGTAATTTGGACAAGTAATTTGAAGATATCAAGAGAAAACGATAAAAATAGGATTCAAGAATGAAATTGAACCACTTTTATCTATTGAGTTGGTGTTGGAAAACTATTGAGTTGGAAAACTGCGGGACTTTGAACCAAAAATTTATTCAACATAAAACCATCAATTCATTCCAAATAATTTCCATTATTATTGACGACTTCTGCCCATTTTACAGGCAATTTGCGGATTCCTCTTTCCTTGTAGAATTTCGGTTTATGTGTGAGACAAGTGTGAGACTCAAAAATGGAGGACTGGAGATGTCCCAGTGTCCCAGTATCCCAGTTTGAGCACTTTCTTCAAAAGAAACCCATTTTGGTGTCAATAGAAAAGTTGTAGAGAATCAAAAATTAGGCTTATAGCCAAATTTCCAAAAAGATACACTTAGTAGTTTCGCTTAAAATGCAAATTTTGTTGCAAGTTTTGTGAAAATTCGTAAATTTGTCATCTCTTAAAAAGAAGTTTTTGAATCGTTCTGAAAATTTGGATATAAGCTTCATTTTTGATTCTCTACAACTTTTTCATTGGCACCAAAATGGGTTTCTTTTGGAGACTGGGACATCTAGAGCTCAAACTGGGACACTGGGACATCTCCAGTCCTCCATTTTTGTGTCTCCAGTAGTTTTTGATTCAATAGATTGAGATTAGCCTTGATTTGAGGAGAAGTCAATGTCCAATTTGAGGATTCGAAGCCGCCCAGTTTAATTTGGTCAAAGGGAGAGGAAAGGGGGTTATGTAAAAGCCCTGCGCCAGACGACGAGCTATTACGCGGCCGCACAAAGAACACGCAGAACAAACAAATTTTAAGCGAAACTACTAAGTGTATCTTTTTGGAAATTAGGATATAAGCTTGATTTTTGATTCTCTACAACTTTTCCATTGACACCAAAATGGGTTTCTTTTGAAGAAAGTGCTCAAACTGTCACATATGACAATAGCCGGCGGTTTTCAATTCACCAACCCAATGTTTTCTTATATGAGAACTTTTAGATTCACTTACAATCCGGTCACTGACAGTTGCCAGGCATTTGTCTACTCGGGATGTGGGGGAAATTTGAACAACTTTGCATCAAGGATCCTCTGCTCGAGTATTTGCTGTAATAAGGTAAAGGAAGACTCGTTTTTGGTAATTGCAATACTTTGTACAGTAGCTTATACAGTACTTTATACAATACAGTAGCTTATACAGTACTTTTCTTTAGCTTTTCTTTAGCTGACTGACAATACGAAATATCACATGAGAATTTATTCCGAAAATTTCCTTGAATAGCCTACTCCAAGTCAGTTACCGTAACCCGTGACTGGATAGTCAGTTGTATGTTACCGTAATCCGTAGCTCAACTTAAAGTTACGACGCCTAATTCAGCTAAAAGTTACCATAACATAGGTAACTTTTAGCTGAGTACAGGAGTGAGACAAGGTTTTGCAAAGATTTCTATACTAACTATCTGGTAAAGCTAGGATCTAGGAGTTAAGCTTTGGATCAGACACTGGATCAGACACTTTGGATCATACAGATTACGGTATCTACTGTTACAGTAGCCTTAAGCAAAACTAGGGTCCGGGTTACGGTAGCCGGAGCGCGTTTGAGCTGCATAAAGTTGGGGGAGTCGGAGGAGTCAAAACTCCGGTTTGGCTTTTTAGTAACAGCTAACAAATACGCCACAGAGCTGTGCGAATAGCTTTCCAAAAAAAGATCATTTTGTTTCTAGCTACGGTTTCCGTATTTCGGTTTCCGTTTCGGTTTCGGTTTCGGTTCTCGTTTCGGTTTCCGTTTCGGTTTCTGTTTCGGTTTCCGTTTCCGCTTCGGTTTCCGAAGTCGGCAAAAAGTTGCAAGAATTAGAGGAACTTACAGAAATCTACAATCATATGGCTATGAAAAAACCCAGAATCCAATCAAATTTAGAGCTAACCAATACGCCACAGAGCTGTGCGAATAGCTTTCCAAAAAAAGATCATTTTGTTTCTAGCTACGGTTTCCGTATTTCGGTTTCTGTTTCGGTTCCCTTTTCAGTTTCCGTTTCATTTTCCGTTCCGATTCCCGTTTCAGTTCCCGTTTCAGTTTCCGTATTTCAATTCCCGTTTCGGTTTCTGTTTCTGTTTCGGTTCCCATTTCCGTTTCAGTTTCTGTTTCGGTTCCCGTTTCAGTTTCCGTTCCAATTCCCGTTTCAGTTTCTGTTTCGGTTCCCGTTTCAGTTTCTGTTCCGATTCCCGTTTCAGTCCCTGTTTCGGTTCCCATTTCCGTTTCAGTTTCTGTTTCGGTTCCCGTTTCAGTCCCTGTTTCGGTTCCCGTTTCAGTTTCCGTTCCAATTCCCGTTTCGGTTTCTGCTTCGGTTCCCGTTTCAGTTTCCGTTCCGATTCCCGTTTCAGTTTCTGTTTCGGTTTCCGAAGTCGGCAAAAAGTTGCAAGAATTACAGAAACTTACAGAACTCTACAATTATATGGCTATGAAAAAACAAATCCAAATCCAGGATCCAAATCCAGGATCCAAATCCAGAATCCAAATCCAGAATCCAGAATCCAAAATGCATTCCATGAATTCCAAAATCAAATAGCCAATATTTCCAGGGTTACAATCATCTCTTCAAGCACAAATTGCTCCTTCTCAGCGACAGTCCATTGGAATCTTACCACAACGAGACAAAGCTTTTATGAGAAATTATTAATTCATGTATTTTATCAAAAACAGAATATTCTATATTTAAAAAAGGCTTATTTAAAAAGGTTTATTTAAAAATTTCCATTGATCTTTTAATAAATCATGACATTTTTAAGCTCTCATTCAAGTATTAAGAAATTTTTTTGTTTTTTCTTTAAACTTTTGATTCTTTAAATTTCTTATCATCTCATACAGGTCAAATAATTTTTTTTTTGAACAAAATTTGTCTCTTTAAACGAATTTGCATAAGCAATAAGTTTAAATTTAAGGTTTTTTTTGCTGTTTCTCCGATTATTTACAGTTTCTTTTCATAAAAATCAATCAAAAATCAACCAAAAATCAATGACTTTTTTGTTATTTTGTAAGTTTTTGCAAGTTTTTGAAAGTTTTGAATAAATTTTGATATTATTTTGTTATTTACCGATTACAAGACGAGAAAGATAACAAATTAATATTTAATTACATCATATCGCTTTTTTGGAGTAACTTCAGTTCTATAGAAAAGTTTCCAAACTCCGAGACTCGTAACGGAATTTGGAATTTGACTCAAATTTTGACTTTTTTGACTCAAATTTTCTCTATTTTCTTATTCATGATTCTACAAAACAAATCCTGCTTTTCTATAGTCAAATTTAATGAGAATTCTTTTAAAAGCAATTATAAGTTGATTCAGCTTCTATACCTCAAGTTATAGACCATCTAAGTTGATCAACTTTTGCAGGTAAGTAGTCCAGCTTTGACTCAAATTTTCTCTATTTTCTTACACATGAGTATACAAGATAACGTATGTATAAAGTATTTTTTGAGTAAACGATCCTTTCAAGAAACGAAAGAAGTCGGAAGAAATCCAGAAAAGATTGCATTTAAAAAGCTTCGTTTCTTGGCTACAAACACTGCGTTTAGCATCGAATTTGTAATTTCCTTTGGGGAAAATTCGATTCAACTTAAATCCATTGGCTATTCTATCAAATTTAGCGTTAATTTACGATATTCAGCCAACAAATTGTGAGCTTTTTATCGATTTTGATGCTTTTCTTATTGAATTTCGTTCCTTGTTTCAGCTTTTACGCCTTTTCAAACCTTTTTTCCAACTTTTACACCTTTTACACCTTTTTCAAACCTTTTTTTACACCTTTTTCACCTTTTTCACCCGCTACTTTTGATCTCGCGAATCATCTTTCTGATCTTCTAAAAAATACCGACTGGGGCTACCAGTGGTGAATTTATCGCATACACGAAATATATCAATCACAATACAACGACACACACAATACTAGGCTATATCTTAACTTAACCCACGTCATGACAGACGGCTCCCTAACCCTAAGCTCAATGGGGAACTAAATAGCTTTTTTGGTGGTGAAGGGAAGATGACGATGAAGGAGTGGCTTGTCACTTTAAAGAACTGGGGCCACAACCACCAGACTGCCCTCCAGAAAACCTCTCAACCCGAAGGGAAAGGAAATCCGAAGGGGGTGACGATGTCGCATGTGGGGTTCGAACCCTCGACCTTCCGATTAAGATAAAAGACACTTAACCAGTCGGCCACACGTGCTCTTTCAAACCTTTTTTACACCTTTTTCACCCCTTTTTCACCCCTTTTTCACCTTTTTCACCCGCTACTTTTGATCTCGCGAATCATCTTTCCGATCTTCTCCAGAAAATTCCCCTTATTTGCCTATTTTGATGACATTCATCAAAACTTATCCCTTTCCAAAATCCGCTCAATTTTGTCGGATTTTCTCGACAGATTACGGTAGCTTTCCCCCTAAATGATCTCTTCATTAGAAAATCAAACATTAATCCACTCCATACAGACACGAATTTACCGTACTTTAGCGCACAATTTGTACAGTAGGATAAACGAAACTTTGGTACTTACGCGAAGTAGCAAACGGAGAAGTAGCAAAATAGCATATTTTGATAGAGCATATAACTCGTTTCAAAAAAAAAACCTAAAATTTCAAAAAGTGATAATTTTAACATACTCACCACGAGTGCTTTCTTTTCAAAACCTCCATCTGGGACGAGTGTGGTTCAGAAGAGCTCCGGGACCCACTGGTGAGTCCCGTTGTCCCAGATGGTAGTCACCCTGGGTCCCACTGGTGAATCCCGTTGTCCCAGATGGCAGTCACCTTGGGCCCCAATGGTGAATCCCGTTGTCCCAGATGCAGCACCTGGGCCCCAATGGTGAACCGTTGTCCCAGATGGGTCACCCTGGGTCCCACTGGTGAACCCGTGTCCCGATGGAGTCACCTTGGGCCCCAATGGTGAACCGTGTCCCAGATGGCAGTCACCTTGGGCCCCAATGGTGAATCCCGTTGTCCCAGATGGTAGTCACCCTGGGTCCCACTGGTGAATCCCGTTGTCCCAGATGGCAGTCACCTTGGGCCCCAATGGTGAATCCCGTTGTCCCAGATGGTAATCACCCTGGGTCCCAATGGTGAGTCCCGTTGTCCCAGATGGCAGTCACCCTGAGGCCCACCGGTCCCGTAGTCCCAGATGGCGTTCACTCTGGGACCCACCGATGGGTCCCACCATCGTGAATGTGTTAAAATAGAGTTACGCGATATTTAGATAACCTAGAAACCTGGAAAAAAATTATTAGCAAAAGTTGAGGCGCAGCTGAAGCTGGACCAGGGACATAAGGGCGAAAGCTCTAGGCCATTATCCACTGGCCATTATCCACCCATTATCCAAATTGATGTTTCTAAACCTCTGTAGAATCCTTATGACTCGTGGGTGGGCGGTCTTATGGATGCGCAATTTTGACGTAAACTTTGAAGAAAAAATTTTCAAAATTTTAGAACCGTCATCCCCAAACGACATACACCATCGGAATCAGCGCAAAAAAAAACTGAACAAGTTTTGCTAGGACTTGTCCGAAAAGCGAGGGGTGAGTGAGTCCCTAGTGAGTCCCGAAAATTTGTGAGAAGTTGAGGAATGCAAATCGTTGCCAATTCGATACGAAATCGTTTCCAAATCATCACCAAATCGTTATCCAAATCGTTTCCAAATCATCACCAAATACCAAACCAAACCAAATACCAAGTGGGGAATTCAAATATGTTGTTAGATTCTTAAAAATCTTAAGATTTAGTGCGTTTTTTGATTGGGTGTCATGGCGTAGAGGTTTCTCTTTTGAGTGGACAGACAAACGGACAGACAAACGGACAGACAAGTGGACAAACAAACGGACAGACAAGTGGACAGACAAGTGGAGGGACAAACGGACAGACAAACGGACAGACAAACGGACAGACAAACGGACAGACAAACGGACAGACAAACGGACAGACAAACGGACAGACAAGTGGACAGACAAGTGGAGAGACAAACGGGCAGACAAACGGACAGACAAATGGACAGACAAACGGACAGACAAACGGGCAGACAAATGGACAGACAAGTGGAGAGACAAACGGACAGAAGACAGTTTTGTCGGTAAACGGCCTCGTCGTGAATGTTTTAATCACCGAAAGTGGGCTCATTTGTTTTCTGTTTTCTTTTCCTCCAAAGATTTCTTTCTTCATTTCAAATCCTCTTCATTCACTTTTCCCCCATTTTCCCTCTTTTCCAATTGTCGTCATGATCCCAAAAATAGTGTCACTTATCCTTGATTGTCAACGAGATAATCACCAGAAAGAAATCCGAAAATGTGTTAAAAAATTGAAAAATCTGAAAAATTTAAAGAAATTTCATATTTTTGTTGTTTAAACAACATATAATAAATAATTTTTTTGAAAATTTTAATATTTTAACATTTTAACACAAATTTTCAATGGAAAAACAGGTTTTACCCAATTCTTTATCCAAATTTTTCTTGTTTTCAATTTTTTTTTATTGTTCTGGTTCTAGTTCTTGGTCTAGTTCTAGTTCTTGTTCTTGTTCTTCTTCTTGTTCTTGTTCTTGTTCTTATTCTAGTTCTAGTTCTTGTTCTTGTTCTTGTTCTTGTTCTTGTTCTAGTTCTTGTTCTTGTTCTAGTTCTAGTTCTAGTTCTAGTTCTAGTTCTAGTTCTAGTTCTTGTTCTTGTTCTTGTTCTTGTTCTTGTTCTTGTTCTAATTCTAGTTCTAGTTCTAGTTCTTGTTCTTCTTCTTGGTCTAGTTCTAGTTCTTGTTCTTGTTCTAGTTCTAGTTCTTATTCTAGTTCTAGTTCTTGTTCTTGTTCTAGTTCTAGTTCTTATTCTAGTTCTAGTTCTAGTTCTTGCTCTAGTTCTAGTTCTTTTTCTAGCTCTAGTTCTAGTTCTAGTTCTTGTTCTTGTTCTTGTTCTTATTATAGTTCTAGTTCTTGTTCTTGTTCTTGTTCTTGTTCTAGTTCTTGTTCTTGTTCTAGTTCTTGTTCTTGTTCTAGTTCTAGTTCTAGTTCTAGTTCTAGTTCTTGTTCTTGTTCTTGTTCTAGTTCTTGTTCTTGTTCTAGTTCTAATTCTAGTTCTAGTTCTAGTTCTTGTTCTTCTTCTTGTTCTTGTTCTAGTTCTTGGTCTAGTTCTAGTTCTTGTTCTTATTCTAGTTCTAGTTCTTGTTCTTGTTCTTGTTCTTGTTCTTGCTCTAGTTCTTGTTCTAGTTCTAATTCTAATTCTAGTTCTTGTTCTTGTTCTTATTCTAGTTCTTGTTCTTGTTCTTGTTCTTGTTCTAATTCTTGTTCTAGTTCTAGTTCTAGTTCTAGTTCTAGTTCTTGTTCTTGTTCTAGTTCTTGTTCTTGTTCTTGTTCTTGTTCTTGCTCTAGTTCTTGTTCTAGTTCTAATTCTAATTCTTGTTCTTGTTCTTGTTCTTATTCTTGTTCTAGTTCTTGTTCTAGTCCTTCTATTGTTTCTCTATTTTTTAATTGTCAATTTCTTTAAAATCTAATTTTCTTGTTAATTCTTTCAGTTTTATATTTAAAATTTCAGAAATTCGCTACCGAAATGAGCCCATACAAATTTGCGGGATCGCCACGACTCGGCGATCTTCTATCGAATTTCGGTGGTGGACAAGTGAGTGTTAAGACTGAAAAAAAA